TACCTCAGCTACTCTCGTTCCTCCTCCTCCTCACATAATGTGACTACTCTCTTGCTACTTCAAGTTCCAGCCAAAACTCCCAGCAAGTAGGTTATTTAAGCTTTTCTAAATGTGTTAATTGCTTTATTAGGGCTGTATGATATTGACATAAAATTTGACGTTCAATAAAGCTGCTGAATTTCACAATGACGATATGAGAAGCAATGTTATTAAAACAGTTTGCCTCTTACTGGATGTGATGCAAGTACAGACTTTTTTTGATGTATAAACAAAAATCTAACTAACCCCTCCTTTAGAGCAAAAAGTACAATACAGAATTATAAAAGCACCATTTACTATTGTGTGAAATAAAAAGAAATGAAAAACTAACAGCTACTAACATCAGAACTGCAAGCACTTCCCAGAAGGCTAAGAAACAGTCAGTATTCACAAAAACAGCTTTTTCTATATAGGCTACAAAAACAAATAAATATATGTTCATTTTTTATAGGCACACAAGAACATATACATATTTTTGTTTATTTATTTATTTATTTCTGCTTGGTTATCATGTATGTTTGTTGCAACAGTAGCCATTACTGCCTCAAACATTTAAAGCACAATAATGGGTTTGAGAACAGTCCTAATGTTTGATGTGCTTGTAGTTGCTTGTAGTTTGATGCTTGTGGGTGATTCTACAGAAGCGTCCATTTTTGTGTCCCTAGCGTTTACAGATATGTTACACTTGAAAAACATGTTAGGGTTACAATTTATTTATATTTTAAAATAAAACAATACGTTATTTTTCAATTTAATTTAATTTTAAATCAATTATATAGAATTCCAAGCACCACAGAAGTACTCGTCCTCACAGTCATGTGTAAAGGGTGAGTGCCATATTTTGCGTCTCTCTAGTGCTGCATGTAGTAAGTAATTTGATCTGTTCTGTCGTCACTGCTCTAGTCATGTGTTTATCACGGACTCTTGTGATAATGATAATGATAAATACGATTTATGGCACAGCTCTACTTGTTATGAAAGTTTATTACGCCGTTGTTTCCAGCATAGCTAGACACTGCTTCCTACTTGTGTTAGCCACCTGTTGCAGGATCCCACACTTCTTCAAGGATTCTTTAGTAACCATGAACACTCAAAAGAACCTTTGGTATGATTAAAGTGTTCTTTGCATCATGAAAGGGTGCTTCAGATCAGATTCTTTGAATGTTCATGGTTCTATATAGAATCATTTTCTTTACTAGATTGTTAAGATTGACATCCTGACATGGCCAACGTTTAGTTGGAGTATTTATATGCTATTAAATTGTGTGTGTGTGTGTGTGTGTGTGTGTGTGTATATATATATATATATATATATATATATATATATATATATCTGTTGATGGAAGAAAGCCTTGTATCTCCAAAATGATAACTTTACAGGAGAAGGAAAAAATCTACTTTGCTTTTAATGTAAGTCAATGGAACCAGACTTTTTTCCAAATTATTTTAGGTCATTTCTTTTAGTCCATTCAACATGAAATTTACATACAGTGTAAAGGGTAACAGGTGTTTTCAAATTATTTCAAATGTTTTACGGTTTTCAGGCTAAACTGAGTAAAACTGAGTAAAACTGACTACCTATAACCATTGTTTGTTACTTTATTTTGTAAATAATTCCTTGTGACAACTGAATGTGCAGCTTTTATAAACGTTGGTTTCTGGAGAACCGACACAACAGGAGCATCAAACTAGAAGTTTCAGCATCTGCAGAGACCCACACAACTAGAGCTACAGATCTTACTTGAAGCATCACCTTTGGAGCTAAAAGTGTGAGCCAGGTTCATGATTATAGCTGAAAATAAAATAACAGCACACAATATTTAGTGTTTTTATAAACTTACTTTACTACTATTTTACTACTACTAAGCTCAGTGGAAAATTACATTGGTGCAAGTTGTTTTGATTCAGTAATGTGTAATCCTGGACTAGACTACATTTGAACTTACATACTGCTAATGTAATGGCCCCAAATCCAAGATGTTTTTATCTGTGGGGGAAAAATTGGGAGCATTACTAAAAACATCACGCCGTAAGTTAAGTTTTTTAATCCAGGTCCTCTGAATTATGAGGTCATTAAGTAGTCGAAAGACTAATATACATACAGCAAGCAAACAAACACTCTGGCATGTTTTAACAGTTTAACTGTTAAGCAACAATGCTTAACAGTTCGGGTCTCCTTTGTCAAATTTTTCTTTTCATATTGTGTCAAATGTTCTTAGTGGTGACAGGTCTGGACTGCAGGCAGGCCAGTTCAGCACCCTTTTAGTACGGAGCAATGCTGTTGTAATAGATGCAGAATGTGGTTTCTTCTTTGCGTTTTAGAGTTTTAACTTGCTTTTGTGGATGCAGCAATGAACTGTTTTCATAGACAGTGTTTTTCAGAAGTGTTTCTGAGCCCATTCAGTGATTTCCACTACAGAATCATGCCTGTTTTTAATGCAGTGCCGCCTGAGGGCCCATAGATCACGGCCAGCAAATACTGGTTTTTGGCCTTGTCCCTTGCATACAGAGATTTCTCCAGATTCTCTGAATCTTAATGTTATTATGTACCATGGATGATGAAAAGCAAAAGTTCTTTGCTATTTTATGTTGAGAAACATTATTCTTGAATTGTTGCACTATTTGCTCATGCAGTCTTTCACAGAGTGGTGAACCCCTCCACATCTTTACTTCTGAAAGACTCAGCCTCTGTGATGCTCTGTTTATACCCAGTTGTATTACTGACCTGTTGCCAGTCAACCACCAGGTGTTTTTTTTAGCATTACACAACTTTGCCAGCTTTTTGTTGCCCCCGTCCCAGCTTCTTTGGAATGGGTTGTTGGCACCAAATTCAAAATGGGTATATTTTTTTCAAAAAACAATAAAATTTGATATGTGGTCTTTGTACAATTCTCACATTGGGTGAGGGGGTGGGGTTAGGATTGCTTGCCAGCCGGCCAGATCAGTCCCGACTGGCCAGAGTTTGGGCATCCCTTTCTTAAATCCAGGACTCTTCTGGCTGCTAATGGGAAACTATGAAATTATAGCATTAAAAGTCTGTTTAGTCCTTTACTGCAAGAGTGAATGATTTACTCTTAACTTGGATCTGTGGATAATCTGCATAATGCAGATGGAGCAATTGAATCTGATGGCATCAGTGGAAGTCACAGTGGTGTGCTATAGTTAGTCCTAGAGAGCATTGTAGAGCATTGTAAGGAGACTCCTGTTATTTTCTTGTCCCTCTCTAATGGTCACGCTGTGCAGCGTGTGTGTGTGCATGTGTGTGTGCGTGTGTGTTTTGTTTACGTGGATCTGCTGCTCAGATACACTCATTAATCTAGCTCACAGCCTTCATTAAACCTGCACTGTGGTGCTGCCACTCTGAGGGACACACATACACATCCACACACTGAGGCCCCTTTCTCCAACTGCTGACAATTACTGTTCTCCTGTCCCTTTCAGCACAATTACTTCTCAATTTCCCCCAGCTGATCACTCGCTCACTCTCACTACAATCCTCCGTTATTGCTCTCCACAGCCTCAGCCCTTAAAGCCAGGTGCCTTCCTCTGCTCGTTTCCTGCTTAGTCACCATTTGTCACCTGCTTAATTTGTATTGTAAATACTGGACATAAGAGACGACTTTACATTTTATTACTTTACCTCACATACTTACCATTGCCATTTCAACAAGTGGGCTATTTTCCAAAGTGCTACATTATTGTTAAGGTGTTTAGATTACTAAATATTTACACCTCACCCTGAGCAGGTGTACGTTTTGGGATAACCAACAGAAACCACATAGAAAGCACAAAAAGACCCAAAACATGACTTTTTTTGGTTAACTAAGCTAAAAATTCAAAACTATATGAAGCATGAAGCTAAACACCCACAGCTCCAGCTCAGTGAGACTCAGCAGCTGCCCAAACAGCTAAACTGATCTGCTGTTGTGTTGGTCATCCAGAAACCATCGTTTAAAAAGCTGCATATTTGGTTTTCTTAGGGAAATGTAAAAGAATAAACAGACAGTGGCTATAGATAATTAGTTTTATTCAGTTTAACTTTTATTCATCGTTCTCTTCTAGGCTGGATATTTTTTCCATGGAAAAATCAGAGCCAACTGCCTTCGCTTTTCCATTGCAGCAGGTTTACTGATCGGTTCTGAGCATGCTTGTTACGTCACGTTAAAGCGACGTACGTATTAGATAGTTGTTACTATCTATGACTTACGGATTTGCGGTGCAACCAAATTTAGTAAAAGGATAGTTTAAAACTAACTAGTGGTAACTAAGGACTTGCGCCCAAACTTATGCAAACCTGGTGCAACCCAGCCCTGTTGTGTTATTTAAGCTCAGACTGTGTCTGACTTCAGTTGAAAACTCTCACCTTGCAGTATGTGCGCAGTGTTATTTATTAATTTTTCACACTGGAAAGTGAGAATGAAGTCATCGAGCTCTAGTACTCATTTACGTTTGCTCATATTTTTACACTTTCAAGAGAAAATGGTGAATTTGCTTGACTCAACACATGAATGTGTGTGCGAGTAGAAATCATCCTAGTGCCTTTGTTACACTAGACAGTCCTAGAGTCTGCTAATTTAGACCTAGCTAGAGCGCTTACTAAATCAGTATTCAGATTTATTTGTGACACAGCAGCGGACACAGCATGTCAGGGTTATGAAGCAAATATATGGAGAACACAGATTCTAGACTTATTTATTATTTTAGCAGATCTTATTATTATTATTATTATGATTATCATTACTGTTAGCAGTAGTAGGTTCCTAAAAAAATATAGGTGGGCTTCCTCCAAACACTGCGGAGAGGTGGACTAAAATGTTAATTTGCCAACCTGCACATTTGTTTTTAACGTCTGATGGCTTTGATGAATCTCCCCCTTCTCTCTCTCTCTCTCTCTCCCTCTCTCTCTCTCTCTCTCTCTCTCTCTCTCTCCCTCCCTCTCTCTCTCTCTCTATCTATCTCAGGTCAGCAGGTGCTGGGGCTGGTGGAGAATCAGAGTGATTGGTATTTGGGGAATCTGTGGAAGAACCATCGGCCTTGGCCTGCTCTAGGCAGAGGATTCAACACAGGTGACTCGCACAGTTAGGAATTCCATCTGCATTGGAAAATATCTGGCAGCACCACACATGGTTCATGCAAACCTTTCACACACTCTTCATGATCCAATATTTTGATCTTTTCCTCAAAGCAGAGAGATGTAAACCCTCTTTAAGAGTGAGCTGAGATCCCTGTTTTGTGTCATATGGTGACCCGTCAATTTCATGGAGAACTGCCTTACAGTGACTGTTTTTAATGCATTAGAGGCAAAAGCAGAGAAATACTTGCTTGTTTGTTTTTTCCCCCTCACTCATCTAATGTTGTCCACTGTACGACCAAAGAGGCTTCTACAGTTCTGCTATCATAAAAACCAAGAGAATTACTTTAATCTTTATGCTGATTCATATTGGCAGTGAAGAAAAGCTCTGCATATACTTCTAGTTTACCGACATAAACAGTGCATTTGTCAAGAGCTTTATGCAGATGCACAGGAAATGCTGTAAAGATGTACTAGTTCATTCATGACTGTTTCATCTTTAATAACACCACTAGAAGCTCTAAAAAAGAGTTCAGTTTTTTGCAACCACATAAAAGCTTTTATTACTGATATTAGAAGAATAATCTCCAGTCGGCTGCAGCCCTCCTGCAGTAGTTTTTGTTCTGCTGCTTTGGTAACAGATGGAACACAGTCAGGTGTAAAATGTTTATTTGTGAAGCCCTTTCCCTCAGAGAGGAAACTTAATGTTTTTTTCTTTTTGTTTTTTATTTGTGTTCTTAGAAAGTTCTGATAGTTAACTCCTGAATCAGGCATGTGTACATGTTGCTCTTGAGCTTCATCATTTACACTTATTACCTATTTTTTTCCTGTATGAACACAATCTATCTTCTTCAAAGAAGGTCCTTCATCTTCGTCTATCTTAACTTACCTTTCTGAGCTTCTCCATATGTATACCTTTGCTCTTGTGGGCTACAATCACATTACAAGCTTTATTGCTCAACTCTGAATTTTGCTCAGACCATTCTGGAAGTTTATATTACATTTTTATAAAAGGCACACTGTTGTCATTAATGTGAACACACATCTGCCCTGAAATGACCGTCATAAACACAAAATTAGGCTTGAGCTGATTGACGTTTATGACAACAATTGTCCATAGCTTTCATCTATCACAACCGCCAATCAAATTGGACGATTTAAATGTCTGAAAACACACTGTTCAGTTTTCTTTTAATGTGTATCATTAGTCCATGTCCTGAATCAGCTCTGATATGTTGTCTGGGTTTAGAACATAGAACAGTGTGGTCGTGCTTGTTAAACTGATAAAGCCGTGCTGCAGCCTTCCACTCGCAGAATGACATGAACGGGAGCTTAAATGATTTTTACCTTGTGATAACATCAGTTATTAAACACAAAAACAGCAACATATAGCCACAGTAACAGTAGCCTTTAGGTTACTTCACCTGGATAAAAGAGAATTCCATTAATACTTTAAAAATAAAGAAGATGTAAACAAAGTGGTTTAATGTGAAATGCTTTATTTTAGAGAAATGTATAGAGTCAGAATTGTTCACAGTGGTGGTGATAGTTACCAGACATCCAAAATTTTTAATGCCACTAAAAGCTACCTTACAGAAGGTTATTACATTAAATGCTACAAATATGTTGCCTGATATTTGAGACATTGTTTTAGGATAGTTTGAGATAAAATGTATGGTGGAAAGGTATAGGAAAGATGTTATAAGACAAATAGTACCCAAAGTAGGCTTAGATTTTCTGATTTACCACTGTTTTACTATCAACATTACATATAAAAACTCAGAAGACACTATTCTGAATAGTAAACAGAGTGGCTATAGTTGCATTGTAAACGGTGCAACTCCTGGTTCCTGTCAGCTCCACTGTAAAGAAATCTGAGCTGAGCTACAAACCACCATTACACATGAAACCATTCTGAATGACTTTGCTTACATCTCAGTGATTGTATTATGCAAAAATGTTTGAAAAGTGAAATTCCCCTTCAAGTTTTAGCCATTTTATTATTTTAACAAGAAGCAATTTACAGGCTGTAAGCATGTGATTTATTAAACCTACAGCAAAAACTACCAAACCACACTATGCCGGACAGAAAACAAAATGTCTGACCAGAAAGCATGTTTATTTTCAACAGTTTAAGCTTAATCCTCAGCCTGGAGTCCATTTTTAAGGCTCTTTTTTCTTCTTTATGCACTTGAAAACATGCTCATACGATGTTGTTTTTTTTTTTTTTAACTTAAATTTCAATCTGACCTTTCTTTTTGCAGTCATGAGTACATGTATCAGACATTTGATCTAGCTCCACATACAAAAGTGGCTCAGATCTAATTTGAAAAGATCAGATTTTTGTGTTAAAACAGACGACTCTCATCAGGATAGGAATGTTTTATTATAGGTTAAAGGTGATCAGTTAGCATAACAGAGCAACTGGACTCACTCACTTTAAGGGCTCAAGCATTCAGGTTTGTACTTCTTCTCTTGTGGTATACGCCACACATTCACTTGCCCACTTATGGAGAACATGACAAAGGATCTGACCATATCACTTACTTGAACATCTCTGTGGACCAGTGCTGGTGGTTTTTACACCACTTTCCTCTTGCCATCCTGATCGAAAATCAAGGTCAATTGTGTACATGTGCTTTTTCATAAACAGATCTTGGGTATGAAGCTGGCGCTATATAAACGGAATGATTAAATGACTAAATAAACAGTAAAGACCACTGTGAGGACAACTTTTGCTTAGCAATTTTCCATACTGCTTTTTTGCCATTAACTTAAGTGTCCTCAAGACTAGCTAAGAGCTTACTCTACTCTCTGAAACGTCGTTCCCTCTTCAGTTCAAGATTCATCATCTGTCCATATAAAACATGCAGCTACGGTCAGTTAACTATGAGTAGATGCCATGATTCAGTCAGTCCAGCGTGATTGCTGCCACACTAGTGAAATGGCATAGCTCTCATTACATTGCTGTCACATTATTCAATCCACTGTCACACCGTGTTCTCTAATACATCCATACTGCTTAAAGTAATCAGACACTCATCACCACATGGTCGCACTCTTAATGTGGGTTTTTACCCTAACTGTGTGGCTGACAGCTGGGTGATAGCATGTTAGCTCTAAGCTCTGTGGAGAATGGCATTATCAAGGTCATGATTAGTGAAAGGGCATCTGCGTGGCTCATCTTAATAACACTTAATGACTCTCTCCTGCTGTGCTTTTTTGTGCCTATGTGTTACAGGTGTGATTCTCCTGCTGTTGGATCGTTTGAGGAAGCTCAGATGGGAGCAGATGTGGAGATTGACAGCAGAGAGGGAGCTGATGAGCATGCTGTCAACATCACTAGCAGATCAGGTACAAACACACAGTCTTTCTTCTTCATATAGTATGCAGAAGTTTGAATACCCCTGGTTTTGTTGATCTTGTATGTGAAAATAAGTTAACACGTCCTCTACAGGAAACAAACTGAAATATGACATTTTTGGGTGAATTTTAGATCACACATTCTGTTCTGACCATTTTTTCAATCTAAGATGGCATCAGATCTCATCTTGGTCCGATCTTAATGGAATGCGTTTTTGTATTTGCATGACGGGGTTGTTTTGGTATTAATTATTTTCACAAACTAACACTAAAGTCATCGGACATATTTCTGCATAATTCTGTTATTGAGATGCAAACTGTGTGTTCAGAGTGGTCTGATGTGAAATGGAAACTCAGATTTCTTTACAATGGTTGTGATAGGAACTGGGAGTCACAATGTCTACAACACAAATATAGCCATTTTCCAAAACGACCATTGAATGTACATGTGCCTTCTAGTTTTCATATGTAATGTTGATGATGGTAAAATAGCAATGAATCTGAAAAGATAAGTTTTCTTCGCTGACTGTTCTGTCTTACAGCACCCTGCATATACCTCTCCACCATTAATGTTGTTTAAAAAACATGTTTTTTTCCTGTAATAACATTGTGTGAGGGTATCTTTTAAGGGTGTTAAACACTTCAAATGTCTGGTTCCTGTCACCACCACTGAACAATTCTGAAGCGTCACGTTTCGCTGGAATTTTATATCAAACCACTCTGTTTATATCTTAACCATTTAATTATGCAGAAATTTTGAAAAATTATTGGAATTCCCTTTAACATACGTAAACACTGCCTGTGTTTTTCTATGGGACACGTTAACCATTAGAAGTCACAGTTATAGCTGATGTTAACGAAATGTAAGTAATTGAATAGCAGTCTGTATAATTAAATATGCAGTATTTAATTATACACTCCTAAGGGTTAAGAAAAGTTCACACACTTTATATTTACAGACTACACAGCAAAATGTGCTGTGAAAATCAGGTATGCGCTTAATGGCAAAACATTCTTTTCGTGGCATTTTATGAACTTTAGAGTGAAGCAGCATGACACCTGACCTACTGCAGATATGTTGCTCCAGCCTCCATCATTTTGTGTTCACTGCTGTGAACAGAATGTCTGATCAACAGTACAACTCCAAAGCTGTCATACCAGACAGTTTCTGAACCTGCTTTAATGCAGCTCTCTGCCCATACTTTCTCCTGCAAAACCAGAGTCTGGGCTTCTACAGCCTCAAGCGTTTGGTTTTCCTATCACCAAACACTCAGGTTCAGATCTTTCATCTTCTCCTCAAAGGCCTCTGCCCTCTATCTCTCTCCCGCTGGCTGTCTCTCTCTGAGACACATCTCTCTGAAACTCTCAGAGCACCTCAGAGCAGTCATTGTTTTAACAGTTTCTCTTTTTAGAGAGTTTTCTCTTCTCCAGATCCACTGTCTTTGATGTGCTCTCCCCAAGTACTTTACTTCCATTTGCCCTCATACCATTCCAGTTTATGTTTGGAGGCCCATTCTATGATGATTCTGCATCATTATCCTCTGGTCAGCAGGGACACCTTTTCAAGGAAAAGGTTGAGAATGATTTGAGATCTAAGGTCAAATATGAATCAGATGTACAATAGTGTGACTGTTACTGACAGTTACTGACCAAACTTTGTTTTTTTTTGTTGTTTTTTTTTGTTTGTTTTTTTTTAAATATCCAGTCAAAACAGCCATTAATTAGCAAGGTGTTCATTTTCAGCATCAGGGAAAAGTAGGAAATATAAATTTAACAGAGAACTACACAAAAGCCTCCAACACTAAGTACAGTATCAGAACTGTTAGTATCTATTCTTTACTTTTGTGCACCTACTACCACTTTAACTCTTCCATCCTTTCAGTCTTAAAACCAACAAGCTACAGCTGCATCCTCCCAAGTAAAGCTGCTCCCAAAGAAATCACTGAAATTATGTTCCTCCTCAAAGAGACACTAACATTCATACAACCAACTACCCAAACCCAACTTAGCTGACCTGCGGATTTTTTCCTCATGTGCATCCAAAATGGCTAAAGAAGATATTTCTGAGGAAATTAAATGTAAAAATCCACTTGCATAAGGAAAATAATTGGGGGGAAACATAGGAGTTCAAAAACTGGAGTTCAAAACATTATTAGAAGTTGTAGAGAAAAAAATAGAGCTCCTAACCACAGTGCAGGACCTGGTAGACCACCAAAACTGTCACCCTCAGATAAATGGCACTTAACGCTTTCATCTTTTAGAGAAGGGAGAAAATCAAGCTCCACTCTTGCTTCAGATCTGAAAACATCCACACTTGTTTCTGTCCATTTGTGCAAAAATTTGAGAACAGCAACACTCCATTAAAGGAATATCCTTTATTAAAGGACCTTGATTTTTCAGGAGGTATTTCTGAGGAAATTAGATAGAAGATTAACCACTTTCATAGGGAAGGGGAAAGTCAAAGAAAAATATGCAAAAAAAAAAAAACATTTCTAAAATATTCAAAAATACAGAGAAAATGTGACTCCTAACAACCATGCAAGACCTGGTAGACCACCAAAACTGTCGCCATCAAATAAACAGTACTTTGATCTTTGAGAAAATCAAGCTCCACTCTTGCTTTAAATCTGAAAAAATCTACAGGTGTTTTCTGTCCTTCCACTGTGAGAAGACAACTTAAGGGTATGGGTGTGAAAGGATGTGCGGCTGTCAAGAAGCTGTTATTGAAAAAAATAAAGACAAAAATGTTTTAAAAAATGCACTAGAACACCAAAACTGGACATCAGATGTGGAGTAAGATTTTATGGAGTCTAAATTTGTAATTGGGATTACTTTGATTACTTTGAGATGCAAAAAATGCAATGAACTTCTAAGACTCAACATTGGAGGAAAGATGCAGATTTATTTGAAAAACTGAAAGCCTCCTGAAAAAAATAGAAGATGTAATAAGGTAAAAAGTGGACACACTAAATACTGAAAATTTTGATATTCTATGTAGTTGTTGAGGCTTCTGTGTAATTTTCTGTTAAATTCTGTAAATTTCTGTTTTTCTTCTTTTTTCCTGACACTAAGAAAAATGAAGTGAAATGACCACTTTGACTAGAAATTAATTAAATGAAAGGGTGGTCTCTGACCTGTCTTAAATTGCCTCAAATATTCAACTGGGGTTGTGGCTAGCCTAGGATGGAACTTGCTAGTCTGTCATCACCAAGCAGCGTTGATTAGAACAGATTATGTGCTTGTTTCATTTTCACATTTGGCAGTGTTACGCAATGTAGTTTGTCAGCTCTTTGATCTGCCTCTCAGGACACGGCATAGTTGAACCCGAGTACCCGTGTTCCACTGAGGGACTTTAATTCCCGGCTCATGTAATAATATCTTCATATAATAGTTGCTTTATACTCTCCTTTAACTTATAGTGGACTTTTGTCAGTCTTTCATGTTTAAAACAAACACAATGAAGTTGTTTTCTTTTTCTTCCGTGTTCTATAATTTGATGGGGATTTACATGTTTAATTAAGCAGCGCATGTTGTTTCAGCTTGTAAGAAAGTATTACGTGTAGGATAATAGTCCTGCAGAATATCACAGTACTGCAGTACTGATATCACAATGCTGAAATATGCAAGTGAGCCTCTAAACACTAAATGTTTTATTGTGTGATTGCGTCTTGGGAGTGTCCTGACCAGTCACAGATGTCCTCTGGATGTTTGGATGAATCGAGACACTCACATGACCCAAAAACATAAATCTGTTTGATCATGCAGGCCTGTCTTTAACCTCATCACATCAAGGGTTTGACAGTGTTTTTATTATACTGCCAGGTATATCACAGTCACAGTATGCAGCCATATAATTGCCTCTCAGGTAGGTGTGGGTTGGTGGAGTCGGTCTGTTTGTATGTGATGTAACACATACTGTTTGTATGTGATGTAACATGATGTGAGCTCTGGTGTTGTGCTTTGCAGGATATCTTCAATGCTGTTATCAAACAGAACCCCTTCCTGGTTCACCAGCTGCCCTGCTTCTGGAACGTCCAGCTGTCTGATCACACCCGCTCCGAGAAGTGCTACAAAGATGTGTCCGACCTCAAGGTGAGTGGTTTGCAGGAGGCTTTTTGTGTGCATATGAGACAAAGAGATTCTAGACCAGTGGTGCACAAGTATGTGCACGTAAGCATTTTGATGCCCACAACATCTTTTGTCATGGTTGATGTATATGATCAGAAATTGCTTTATTGTTTTATATGAAATACATTTTTTTATAAAATGAAATAAATAAAAAGAAATTATGGAACCCCAACTTTGTCTTTACTTAGCCTCATTATAGCATCAGTAGGATAGGATCTGTCTATCTGTCTATATATCTATCTGTCTAATCATCATCAGAGCTGTTAGCATGCTAATGAAGTTAATGCTAACCAGCTCCGCTGTCCTAGTCAGCAGTACAGTTTAACATTTATTAACTGTTAGATAGATGGTTTGACATTTATTGAATGATGGCTTGAAAATTGAACACTGTGTTCACTTACTTGGTAAGCATGTACAGCAAACTACCTTTTTTATCTTGAAATAACACTAGATGAGACAGCAAAAACAGTATAAGAGAAGTTAATGGAGAACATAGTGGACTGCCATAACTGATATGAGAGGTAATCGATCATCAACAAATTACATCTCAAGTGGCAATCGTCAGGGTCCAAGCACCTTATGGAGCCAGAAGAACACAAATGATGGGCAAAGTTTTCAGAACGGTCTCTATTTATGATGATTTTTAATCCGGGGTCTCAAAAGGAGATACATGCCAAGTGTTGTACAGGCTGATCTTTTGACCTTGGTATGGTAAGCAACCGATTTCTAACAAATAGAAAAAAAAGAAGTAAAATTTTTGGACATGACTTGTATTTGTATAGTTGTTGAACTCAATGAACTAAATAATCCCACAGCCGTTTCCCCTATAATTTATTCTCAGCATGCATCAGAAATTTCATGTTGAAATTACTAAAATGTTCTTAGAGGAACTGTGCCGTTGGTCCCACTAGAAGGAACTGGTTTCATTGTCATGACAGTATGAATTAATTCAATTAATCAGTTAATGATAAATAGCCCTGTGCCTGTCAAATAAGGACAAAGCTGTAAAATAGCTTGTGGACACTGCTGTAGCACCAGAACGCTTGACAGGAGAAAGTCAGTTTTGAGAGCAGCTGAAATCCTGTATTTAACCGATGAGAGAGGCAGATAAGGGAAGAGAGAAGGCATATCTGTGATGGTGTATGTACGATTCCTTTCCTGCTGACTGTGACCATCTGCTCTCAGAGTGTGCGTGTGTTCTGTGTCCTCTGTGAATGGCTGAGTGACAGTAGAGGAATGGCTGCCTGGTGCCCCCTGCTCCTCCCCAACTGCAACTGCTGTTCTCTTTAGCAGCACTGGCTCTCTAACACTGACCTTTTTACCCATACACACCTGGGTCCATCATAAAAACTGATGCATCTCATCGCCCCATCACAGCATGGCTGACTGGTCCTGTTTTCTCTGTCACACTTGCATGCTCACAACCTATTTTTTTATAAAACACAGCTATTCTCTCAATTTGCCTCTCTGTCTGATTGGACAGGTGATCCACTGGAACTCTCCTAAGAAGCTGCGGGTGAAGAACAAGCATGTGGAGTTTTTTAGGAACCTTTATCTGACCTTCCTGGAGTATGATGGAAACCTGTTGAGGAGGGAACTCTTTGGCTGCCCGAGTGAGACTGACCACAACAGTGAAAATGTAGGTATAGGTAGAATTAATAACAGTGAAAATGTAAATACAGACAGAATAAACAAAAGTAAAAATGTAGGTACAAGCAAAACAAATAACAGTTAAAATGTAAATAATCAACCTTTAGCCAACAAATCTATAAATCTCTATAAATTACTACTAGTTAAACAACATTATTTTCAGTCTCAATAAACAGTAGTTCATATTTGAATAGATGGGTTTATCATTCAATTTTAAGAATGGTTTTGAATTATTTGCATGATGGCAATTCATTCCACAAGACTGGCCTACTAAAAATTGAAGCATGCAACTGAAAATAGTGTATGGATGACTGCACAACTAACAGTGTACCATATCAAAATATCAAAAGCAAACATCTGCAAGCAAAAACACTTAAAACTACTGTGCCTGTGTTTTCTGAGAGAAAGTGTGATGTATGGCAGTGAAAGGAAATTGCACAAGGGTGAAAATATTTACAAAGAAGGACGTGGTGGACGGCGATAGCTTATGAGAGCTACTGAGGTACACTGAGCCAAAGCTAGCCCCGGTCATGGCATTTATGCTTATTTTAACTTAGGCCAGTTAATGATTGGTAAATATAACTTAAAAACTTTAGAAAACAGAACTTTGAGCAGCCCACCATTATATATTCTAGTCATTATGTCAACATTTTTAGTTTAGTTTGGTCATATTATCACAAACATATAGTTGCAGCTCCTCAGTTTACACAAAACCATGTTCTTAAGTAGTATGTTTAGTAGGGATTTGGGCCACATATCAGTTCCATGTTCCAAATCTTTTTAATATCTCAGCTAATTAAATTTCAGAACCGAAACTATCCATTTTGTATTTGATATTTTGATGGGTCACGTACTTGGTTTTAGGTTTGCTTAATGATGCTGACTAATGATGGTTGGTTATTGGTCAAAAGAATTTACCAAAATGTGCAACCTAAGTAGGCATAGGTAAAGTAAATAACAGTGACAGTGCAAGTACAAAAAGAATTCTAGTGACAGATGGAAAAAAGCAGCAAATACACAAATTTAAATATAACACTGCAGATGACTTTATATAGCAAGAACGAAACAATGTATTAACAGAATACAAGATGCTGTCTAGTAGAGTAATCTAATGTGTTGTGTGAATGTTTCTGAATTGATTCCTTTATCAAGTTGCAGGGAAATTACATTGCAGCAACTTACAGCTAGTTGCATGAATGTTTCACTGTGAGTGCCAGCCTAACATGGGAATGTGAAGCCTGAATTATACATCTGTGTCCATGTATCTGCCAACATGTCCAGGCGCTGTGTGCAGAAGTTCACGTAGGTGTCTGCCAACATACCTCCATGTGAATGTGAGCACAACCAGAGTGTACCAAAAAAACGAAAAGGAAATTCTCACATTTTTTCTCTCTCTCTCTCCAAGAATGAATACTCACATCACTGTACTTTGTAACATTTTGAAAATGGGTCATATACACATTAGTAATGTCTTTTGCCAGGGGTTCCGTTTGATTTTGTGCTAATTCTGGTTCTGGTCGAGTATCATTTGGGTCTTATCCTGTCCATACACTACTGGATAGCCAATCAATATTGCTTGATGCACAGCTCCACAGATTCACACAACTTCTGTACCTGTAGCAAAGGTTAAACGTTTCTATAGGATACGGTGAAAGGCCAAATGAGAAAATCTCTCTCTCTCTCTCTCTCCCTCTCTCTCTCTGCTGTGAAATGACAGATGCCTCTGTGGGTGAGGGACACAGATGGGTCTTTCATGTGACTGTGTGTGTGTGCGCGTGCGTGTGTACGTTCATTCTGGGTCGTTCTCTCCCCTCATAGCAAGAACAGCAGGTGGTCTTTATAATGAGACACTTTTTTGTAAGGCATGTTGAGAGAGTGTGTGTGGAAGGATCAGAGGAGTGTGATATGGGCTGCGTCCCTGCGGAGGGGACGTCAGCATCGCTCGCTGTTTACAGTGCGCAGCCCCCACTGATGTATCCTAATCCTAATCTGCTTCTTTTCATCATTACTTACTGTTGAATTGCAGATACATAGGTTTGTTGTATATTATTCACACACTGGAGTGTGGATGATTTAAAAGTGTGTAAACAAAGTCTGGATGGAATATGCAGATTTGCCACAACGTTCACAGATTTCCAGTACATCTCCAGGTTCCTCAATTAATCAAATCATTCTTAGCTTGACATTTTCTAGGATGGCTTTGGCACGGCTTTTGTCGCACTAATCAATTTAATGGGTACTTCTTAACTGTAGAAACACGCTGTTCACTTGATTTTGCTGAGTTTGAGAAGCTATTTAAATCACATTAATGGAATGCTTGGGCTAATGAAGTCACTCAGGAATTAGCTGGCCCAGCTTTCTTCAGCTTTGCATGTTTCAGCCACAAATAGATTAAAGCAGTCCAGTGCCTTACAGCGGATGAGAGATTTATTCATTTGTTTCGGATGTAATTTTTAAACGTTACTCATGGTGACACCTATACTATTGTGTATACAGCTGTGCATTAGATGTAAATGCCCAACAAATCATAATTCCCTCTGGCAGAGCCCCCATTAAAAGCACTGCTTAATATTAATGAGGACTGTAAGAATGAAGTGTCAAGTGTCTGAACATTGTCTCTTGACTGTGCAAATATTCAAGAATTCCATACCAAAGAATGAAGGATTTACTGTTCACTGCTGCTTATACTACTGCTGGTAGTTGTAGTATTAGTACTGTTGACTTCTGATGTATTTAAATCTCACCAATCTTTGTGTTTTCTCAGCTCCAGAAGACTCTACTGGAGCTTGATGAAGACGACCCGTGTTATGAGTTCCGACGGGAGCGTTTCACCGTTCACCGCACACATCTATACTTCCTGCATTACGAGTACCAGCCCAGCGCCGACCAGACTGACGTCACCCTAGTGGCCCAGCTCTCTATGGACAGGTATACAAGATTACAAGATACAATGTGGATAAATATCAGATATAGTTGTATGAAAGTTGTTTGAAAGTTGCAGCCGTATGAAAAGCTTGATCTTGATTCGTTTCATTTGCAAAATAGGCAGCTTTATGTTTTGCACAAGACAGATGATAGACAAAACAGGAGCAAGATATGAAAAAAATACAGAATGTGGCTCACTTTCCTGTACATGTCAGATTCAGCGGTTGCATGAAACTTGAGAAATTATTGTACGTAATCTGCGGAAATGAATGCCACCAGTTCGAAAATGAGCATGCGTTCATGGAGAATTGTGAATTAGCTTAGTTAATGCCATAAAAGTCTGTGTGTAGGGAGAAATAACCTATAAGGAATTATTAAAATGAGGAGTTTCCAGTCTTATTCATGAAGGGCCAGTGAGGCTTTTGTCCCACTAAAGGAGGAGCACACATGATCAGTTGTTTGAAGCCTGAGCAATTGATCAAACAAGTGGAATCAGATGTGCTGCTGCTCGTTGGGAATTAAAAACCTGCAGCCACACTGGCCCTTTGTGGATAAGATTGGACACCCCTGGTTTAAATGAAACAAGCAACTAAAAATATGCAAAATCATTTCCTTGGACATATTAACATTGAGGGCAGCTTCAATAGCCAAATGAATTCACTGTTAACAGTGTTAAAACCCATTTTAAGTAAAATATAAATTGATGCAAAAAAGTCATACTATATTACTTAAATAGTACTGTAAACAGAATAATCTCAACATAAATAACAACAAAGAAAGGACCTCTCTTGAAATGCAGTGTGTGCCAAACTGAAAGTTCTAAATACAGGAAAAGCATATATGCTCTGTATATGCATAAGCAGCTAATAAGTTCAGTTTTAGTGAGAACTGGGGCTGTTAGATTGTACGCAAGCTGGAGCTTCACAGCCTCATTAGAGCAACCAAGCAGTAATGCACTGAAGTAGTTTATTCTCAAAGTAAGGAAGGCATGAGCTAACAGAATAATCAGCTTCAACAGAGCTCCAAAACACGTTTGACTTATATTTGTTCTAGCATCAAGGGTACTGTCTGTCAGTTTGTTTGGGGCGAGCCTAATTGTATGCCTAAATTAAAATCCAGATTGTTGCTGATGTTAATGCTTAATGTGTAGCATATTCAATTTTAGGCACACTTATTTATTTTTTTGACAGTTAAAACATGTTTTGAATGAGGAGACGAAGGTCGGAAAACTAACTGCACACTCTGTCTTTGGCAGGGGTCTCTAATTCCTGATTGCTCACGCTGATCGTTTCACGGTTGGGGCAAACTGAGCGCTGAGCAGAGCTGAGCCGCTCAGTAATTTAGCACAGCCAGCGTATGTGAAATGCTGGGTGCATGTTGTTTGCCCTCAGTAAAGAAGGTCTTTGGCGTTCCAATCATAGCCCAGAGAACTGATTTTACTCATTTAGTGTAGGCAGTGACTGAATAGATATGAGCTGTGGACTCTCCTGATATGTGATACTGATTCTAACCCTCTATATCAGTCTTTCTGCGTCTGAAATGGAAGCAGGACACATTGATTGTTCTATCTTTGTAAACAGTTTTCTTGATGCAACCTTACAGAAATATTCTTTTTCAGTCAGATGAGGTTTTTTTTTCCCAATCTCAGTGGTCTTTGCAACCTTTGATGTCTAATAATATTTATCTATATTTATATAACTCTATTAAAATGGATGATCTCTATTTATAAATTAAGCAGTATCAATTTGCCAGTGGGGTCATGTGGCAAGTTTCTACTGAAGCCAAGGCATCTCCACACTGATAGATTTTCAGTTTCGGCTCACGGCTTCAGTTTTATTATCGGTGTGAGAAAGTTCTTCGTTTCCTCTGGTCCATATTGATAAGCAGGAGAGAGAGCGAGAGAGCAGTGAAAGTCTGCAGGCCTTTTACTCTGAATTGGTATGCACTGCTGTGCACCAGCCTTCGCTCACAGCCCACTGTCTCATTAGATCTCAAAACGCTTTGATAGGTCAGCTTCAGACAGAGGCGCTGACCGAGTCGGTTCTGATTGAAGAGGAATCACCAGGAAAGGTCAAGTTTTAGGTCACTCCTGCCCACCCCTCTTTAAGGAAGGCAGCTTCAGGCTGCAGCACTGCCTGAGCCAGTTTTGACTGAGGAATCATCAAGAAGAGTCAAGATGTTGGGTCTGGGATATGAATCTGTTTGCTGCAGGTGAAAATAATGTAAAAAGAAGAGTAGGCTCCTATTGCTTTCTGCCAAGTGGCTGTCCTCTTTGAATGAAGATGCATCAAGTGTCATGTCAGTTAGCCTAAATTGAATTTTTTCTTAATGTTTAATGAAAATTTTTGTCACTGTTGTCATTGAAATTGATGTTAATCATGAGCTTTGTGTTCAGAGAGGAGAACATCTCTAAAGAAATCTATGCCCATCTTCACTCATGTTGACCCACAAATTGACTCGAGAGGAAACCTAATAACAACTTGAATTGATAGTGTTCTCAAAGGATATTTAGCTGTGGAATTATCAGCTTTTGTGTGCAGCCTAAACTGCTTTACTTCAATTTAAACCTTGTTTCAGGAACTTGTTACTATGAACAAAGGGAAGATTTTTAAATTGAGTCAGGTCATTTTGATCATTTAAAGGGGGTCACTGTGAACAATGAGGGTTCTTTGTCTTCATCCTTTTTCGTTCTAGCATTCTGAGAAGACTTGAACTGATTTTCCTCTAGATAGTTAATCACCCAGATCTTCACTAGTCAGTTCTTCAGAAAAGGCTGATCTTGTTCATTGTCCAGTCATTGTAGTTTCAGTCCCGAAAAAATTCCTATTTACTGTCATGATGTTCAGAGCAGGTTACAGGGTTAAAAATTAACTGTCCCTCAACTTGTCAGATTCGACAAGTAGACTGAAAACAACAGCCTTGAACAAATTTTTGTGTAAAAAAAAATAAAGAAAGAAAGAAACGCAGAATGCATTTTAGATTAGCTTCGGTTAGCTAATCAGCTAGCCATGCCAACTCTACAAGGCAAAAAAGTCGCTTTGTCTGGCTATAAAGTGGTGTAAAGCTTTGGTGTAGTGGCATTCTTTTTTTTTCATAGCCGTTTAACCTTCAGCATGCTAATTAGTAAACTATCCAAGTGTCAGCAGGGATGTATACAAGCTGGAGCTAAAGCCCAGCAAATCAAATGTTATTGTTTTAAAATATTAAGCATTTTATAGTAGTTTACTGCTATGACTTAGAAACAGCTTTGCCATTATTTCAGGTTTGAAAAGGGAAATGCGTCAGATTCCCTCGCAAGTTCTGCTGCTGACGTCAACAGTTTTGTTCACATGGACCCTTGTCCCTCTGAGGGCTCATCTAACACACTTCACTTAATCAAAGAAAGTAATGGAATGGCTCATAAGATGGCATCAGGGATTTCTCCAAAGGGGAAATGATGAAGCCAAGTGAACGAAGGTTTGTTAAAACCACTACTGAAATGTAAAGAGTGTATATGAGATTAAGGTTGTGTGTCTTCTGTATTGTTACTTAGAACTGCTGTTGGGTGCATTTGTTGTATATAAACGTCCTGCACTCTTGACAAGCGAGCAGCATTTTTTTTTTATGTGAGAGATCACAGAGAGATTTTTCATAAAAATCTAGTGACTGTTTTCTGTTTTCACTCGCTACACCATGCAAATGGTTTCAGACACTGCTATTCCAACTGAGCCTTTTTCTTGCCCCAGGCAGTCGGGCCACTGGGCAGGCGCTAATGTTGATCCCTGGGTTTGTTTGGCCTTTCTGCATACATTGTACTACACTCTGATGCAGATGAAGACTTGAGTGCTTGCCCCCTTCTCTGACATATCTGAAAGCCAGCCAATTCCAAAGGCATTGGAATTGATTTCAGACGTGAAGTGTTAGGACCCATGTCAGATTTACTGTTTATTTCTTTCCTGCAATCAGTGCCATTGAAGTAGTTGATGGAACTACACAGATTGACAGTTGCATATTGAGAGTACTGTGACAAAGGACCGTAGAGAAATCCATACCCTGATATCTCCAAAATAGATGCTGGCAGCATTTAAAAGTCAAGTCAGTTTTTCTCTTGTCTGTTGCTTGGTGCACTGTTGTCCTTACAGACTTGATAAGGTGAGAATGATGTCGCACTTTACTGGCTCCACTCGATTGAAAAGGTCATGGTGGTGAGAAAGGGTAAAAGCTTTGCTTTCCATTTTGGGCGATAAATCTACTTCCATCTCCTCTGTCTGTAAACAACCTCACTGACAATCAAGGATGTATAACCTTTCTTGAGTACACCAGTTTGAAATGGCCTGCAAATCCAGCTGATTAATCCAGACTTATCTGACACCAGTAATATGGATGTACGTGTCAGAATTTTTTTCCCTTTCACATTGAATCATGGGAAAAGTTGTTTGTACATTTGATCCAAGGCAATGTTTTTTTTGCTGCAGGCTGCAGATGCTGGAGGCCATCTGTAAACACTGGGAGGGTCCCATCAGTCTGGCTCTTTATCTGTCTGATGCTGAGGCCCAGCAGTTCTTGCGCTACGCTCAGGGCTCTGAGGTGCTCATGAGCAGGAGCAACGTGGGATACCACATCGTCTATAAGGAGGGCCAGTTCTACCCGGTTAACCTGCTGCGCAACGTCGCCATGAGGCAGGTCAACACCCCCTACATGTTCCTGTCTGACATCGACTTCTTACCCATGTATGGACTCTACGAGTACCTCAGGTAAGACTGCCTCTTAGAGTAGAGGTTGTCAGTTGAGTTCTCCCATATTTATTCTGCTCCAGTTCCCAACAAGCTAGGACATCAAGAGCTCTGGAGCTCTCTAGCCCTTCATTACCTGGTTCAAGTGTAAAAGAAGATAGAATAGAACAAAAAATAGAGGCTGCTTGTGGACCCCACGGGACTAGACTGAAGACTAGACTGCAGAGGCAGGTAGCAGATGGCTAGCAAGTCTAGAAATAGGATTTCTGAATGCTCTTAATGTTTCTTGGAAAACGTAGGCTTTCAAAAAAATTGGAAATCTCTTATGAATGCTATTGTATTTACTGGCTCCATTGTTGTTATCTTTATTAGTGCCTGTTACATATATATTACATATCTATCCTGCAGAAAGTCGGTGGTGCAGCTGGACATGGCAAATACTAAGAAGGCTCTGGTGGTGCCTGCATTTGAGACACTGCGTTACCGGCTGTCCTACCCCAAATCCAAGGCTGAGCTTCTGTCTCAGCTTGACATGGGGACGCTATTCACCTTCAGGTTTCCAACAATTTATTCTCTCACACATACATTTGCACTCACTGTTCTGGTTCACGACATCTGCCAATTTTTTAGACAGATTACCAAGTTATAAAGTTCCTTTCATTTAGGAGGGAGCTGCTTAAGTAGCTACAGACTTCGTAGGCAGCAGATTCTTTGGAATGCATTTTAATTTAAAACCTCATTTTTACTGGTTTCGTACCGTCATTGAAAAAATCATGTAATGTTGAAATTTGGTTTCGCAGGCTTTGAAAAGTGGTAGAACAGTCATAGAATTTCCTTTTTCCCCATGCAGTCCTCATCACATTGGAAACACAGAAGGGTCTAGATCTGTTGTACTATGGGTACTCAAAGCTTTAAACTGACTCATGCTACATCCCTCTCCTACACAGTAAAAATTACTTTAAAACTATAATCACTGAAAATCAGTAGCCTAATACGTACATTTAAAGTACATTCACATCATAAAGAATTTATTATTTGTTGTTGTCAACTTACATTTAGCTAACATAATAAGTTGGAGAACGATGTCAGCCTAGTTACTATGATGTGCATGCTCAGCATGGCTGTGTTGTGTTTCTCTTTTATTTTGCCATGTATGAAAGATTAATGAACATACTGGCTCACTGATCTTTGGAGTTTGTCTGCCATATTTTCCAAATTTTCATGGAACTCTCAGTTGTTGTCTTGGCTGACAAGGATAAATGCAATGATGATTTTTTTTTCCTATACAGAAAAGAGGTTTTTACCAAGATGAGTCAAAGTCGCTAATTACATCTATTTGTATTTGCTCAGGTATCATGTATGGACAAAAGGCCACGCTCCGACTAACTTTGCGAAATGGCGAACAGCCACAACGCCATACAGAGTGCAGTGGGAGGCAGACTTTGAGCCGTATGTGATGGTGAGGAGGGACTGTCCTGAGTATGACCGCAGATTTGTGGGATTCGGCTGGAACAAAGTAGCCCACATTATGGAGCTGGATGCACAGGTAAGCCAACTGTCATGACCTTTGTCAGCAAAAGGCAGCTTCAGGCAGTTAGCCCCCCTTAATCTCAGAAACCAGAACTGCTGTAAAGCTCTCACTTCACAACATAGCTTCAGTGAGGCAAACCACTGATTCTGTAGACCAGAAAGTACTAGATAATTCCACCTCTCCTCTCAAAAACTGCTGCCTTTCCACTGTGTGTTCTTTATAAATGACACAATCTGCACCGCTTAGGAAGAGTATTCTTGCGGGGAGAAATGGAGCTGCCAGAGGATGGATTTAGTGTTTTAACGCTCCTGTACATTTTTTTTCCTAGAGATCGGTTTCTGGTCAGAATGTTCTAGCATGCATCTTCTTAGAATAAGGCAAAGCTTGATTTGTCAAGCTTGGCCAAATGTGTGCTTATTGTTAGTAAATATTTATGACTCCATGTTTTGTAGTTTTCCCTCATTTCCTATGTAGAAGACCAAGTCCAAATTCTCTAAGCAAAGGCTATTTTTGCTGCTTTTGCTGGTCAAGTTTAGAGTCATACCTAGCTCATAACCTCTTAAAAGTACTGCCCTTTTTTGCAGTCAGATAGTGAGAATACTCCCCCTTAAATGCTTAGTTTCTAATTTCAGAGATGTGAGCTTTCTAAATAGACAAAAAAAATGTCAATAGATATTTCTCTTTGTAATTGAATTTGGAATTACTTGTATGCCTTTGCACTATCATTGTGTACATCACTAATATCAGTCTCTTTCCCCTCATTAAATCGCTGACACAAAATGAAAAGATATTCAAGCAGAGTCTTTGGCAGACTTTTTCGACAGTTTACTCAAGTATGACAACAGAACCTTTGTCATATTTTGGTTATGGCAACTTGTGCATAAATACTGTATGTACTTAACTACGTCCTGTACTGTGTCACTAAGTCATTTTTATGATTCTTCATCACAGGAATATGAGTTTGTGGTTCTGCCGAACGCCTACATGATCCACATGCCTCATGCGCCCAGCTTCGACATCACCAAGTTCCGATCCAATAAGCAGTACCGCGTTTGCCTCAAGACTCTGAAAGAGGAGTTTCAGCAGAACATGTCCCGACGCTATGGTTTTGCTGCCCTCAAATACATGACTGCAGACAACAACAGCTAGCGAAGCCGGCTCGTGTTTTACACTTTTGAGCTGGTACCATTAGAGATCAAAGTTAGGTGGCAATGTAGGCCCATAATGGACCTAATACTCTGATAATGGACACTTGAGATAATAAGAAGTCAGAGGGTTGTGCTTATCCATTCTGTCATTCAGGGAGCTGACATGACCATTGTGACACTTTGTCACTGCTTTGGAAATAGAAGAAGTGCAATATCTCACGTCTTCAGTTGGACACCATAGGGGTTAAATGGTTAACACTGGATGAGTTCAGTCAAGCCCCTCTATGAAACGCAATTGGGACATCATTAACAACTGGGTAGGCAGTGTTTTGCCATGGTAACCTGCATATAGCTACATAGGAAAGCAGCTCTGCAGGGACTTAATCAAATGAGGACTCAAGAGGACTCGGACGCCCAGAAACAGAAGGTGGTGTATTTGTGTCCAGTCAGTGGCCACCTTTTTTGCAGTATTAGCTGTCAGTGGAAGGTGGACACAAGGAGATCTCTGATCAGGCATTTAACTGGTAAAACTAGGAAAAGCTGTAACTAGTATCTTATTGCTAAAAGTGACTGGTAAAGCATTAATGACATTTTCTTTAGATCTTCTATAGAGGACAATGCATTGTTACCCACAAGAACTGTTTAACAAATAGTTTTAGATTTCAAAGCAATGGACTTGTGCAGAAAAAAACTTTCTCTCTCAGAGGCACTGTGGCTCAAGAATAAGACCTTGGTGCATAGTAACTGCTCTACGTTTGGAGGAAGTCAGGCTATCTGTATTGACAATCCAGATGCGAGATGGCAAACACACAGGAAAAACCCAAAATGACCGAGTCACTCCAACACCGTCCTTTTCTTTTAATGCAAAAACTCGAGTATTACACAGCAGTATTATGTTTTGTCCTAGGACTAATTGTCCTAAAATTTCAAATGGATTATTTTTGTTGTCATTATCATGTATCAGTAATGTGTTTACATGTCTTGCAGCTGCATAAGCAAGCTAACAGAAATGCACTAACTCCATAGTGGAGTCAGAATGAGAAGATATATGTGTGTGTGTGTGTGTGTATGGTTGGTGGGTTGTGACACTAAGAATACACAGGGCAGCATTGGAAATGTAAGACAGCTGTTACTGCCAGTATATGAGGTACATACAATTGTGCACCACTTGGCAGGGAAAGTTTGCACTTCTTTCTGTCTATCCCTATGGTTAAGCTCATGCACCATGAGGTGATGAAAAACTTACGGAGACGTCCTGTCCCAGCCATTCATGTTAAAATCCAAATCCAATAGGCCTGACCATAAAATATCAAAACTAGGATTACTTTATTAAGGAGGAAAAAACCCTAAGCCCCTCTCTTTCTGAGAAAATGTGGAAATAGTTTGATTGTGCATTAACATTGGCAGAAATGTGGTACCCATCAGTACCTGCTGAATGTTGCTATGAGTAAGTGGCCTGGAGTTTGTTTAGAACTTCAAATCAAAATAGCTGGGACACGCTCTTGTAACAGGGATGAGCAAGACTGCTGACAAGTTTAAAAAGTATGTGTATTTCAGTTTTGTATTGTGCAGACAGGGTTGATGTGTGTATGTGTGCGTGTTTTGAACAGCTTTGGATATGAGACAGTGACTAGACCTAAGTGTGCAGGACAGCACTGACAGTTTTTTTTTCTGCTACATCAATAAAAAAACTGGAAAAAATAATATTTTCTTTTGCTTTTTCACTAAGGTGTATTTGAGTATTGTACCATCTGAACAAGTGGAAAAGCTGCAATTGTCGTTTGCCCAGTGCAGGTGTGTCCAATCGTATCCGCAAAGGGCCAGTGCTCTTACAGGTCTCAACAAAGCAGGAGCACACATGTTCAATTGTCTGAAGACTGAGACCAACTGATTAAACAAGTGGAATCAGGTGTGCTCCTGCTTGCTTGAATGAAAACCTGCCGTCACACCAGCCCTTTGTGGATAAGATTGGACACCCTTGGCCTAATTAAACATCTGTTATTTTGGAGCACCTCAAGAGGACTGGGTAACCATGAGGGATGAAGTCAAGGAACATGACAAAAATAACATTACAATCAGTAAAATGCATCACAGAGTACTTAACAGCATTCAGAGACAATGCTTCATTTATTTGATTTCAAGTTAAAATGGCTATTAAATATAAGTTATTAATTTTTCTGAGATATTTCTGAGGAGATTAGATAAAAGAAAAATCCAATTGCATAAGAAAGGGGAAAGTCAAAGTAAAATAAGTAGAAAACACAAGAGCACCATCAACTAGCACCATCAGATGAACAGAACACAACCTCTCTTTCACTGTGAGAAAACAACTCAATGTGTTTGGAATTGCTGCAGACTGAACTCTGGGGCTGTAGAAAAACACCCTGCAGAAGAATGGAAGTTGTAATAAAGGCAAAATGTGGACACAAATCCTGAAAAATCTGATATTATATTTAGTTGTTGAGACCTCTGTGTAATTTTCTGTTAAATATACACTGATGAGCCAAAACATGACCACCTGCCTGGTATGCTGTTGGACGTGCTGCACTAAGAGGTCTGATACTTGAACTCTACAAAACCTCTGAAGGTGCCCTGTGTGGTATATGGCACCAAGTTGCAAGGTGGAGTTGCCACGGACTGGGCTTACCGTCCAGCACATTCCACAGGTGCTCGATCGGACTGATTTCTTGGGAATTTGGAGGCCAGAGCAACACCTTGAATTCTTGTCATGTTCCTCAAACCATTCTTGAATGATGTGTGCAGTGTGGCAGGTGAACACTGTCCTGCTGAAAAAGGCCCCTGCCATCAGGGGATACCCAGTAGAACATTGCCCAGAGCATTACACTCCCTTCACTGGCTTGTCTCCTTCCGATAGTGCATCCTGGTGCCATAACTTCCCCAGGTAAACACCACACATACCTGCCCATTCATGTGATGTAAAAGAAAACGGGACTCACTGGACTTGGCAACCTTCTTCCATTGCTCCAAGGTCCAGTTCCAACACCATGGCCATTGTCAACGCTTTCAATAGTAAACAGGGCTAAGCATGGGCACTCTGACAGTCTCTGGGTGCGCAGCCCCATTTCTCCTGTAATCATTGTTAAAAAATTCTGTGACTTGTGCCACAGAATCCCTTCTCTTGGTTCAGACCAGATGGGATTGCCTTTGTTAGTCTTAGCCTTGGGCACCCAACACCGTGTCGACAGTTTGTGATTTGTCTCTCCTTGGACCAGTGTCGGTAGGTACTCGCCACTGCTGACCAGGAGTGCCCAACAAGCCTTGGCATCAAAGGTGTCAGGTCTTCACACCTGCCCGTTTTTCCTGCATCCAACACTACGACTATAAAAATCGGCTGTTAGCTTACCGTCTAACATATCCCAGACCTTGACGTGCTGTTGTTACGAGACTCTCACACAACACTTAAGCCGTTTATCCTTTGCTCTCAAATTTTACTGATGTAGCGGTCATCTGTCCATGTGACACTGCAGCATTCAAAACTACAACAGGTATGAATGGACGCCCAGATGGGGAATCAATGACTAAAAATACACAAAGCCATCTCAGTGGCTTAGAGGCTCAGCTTTACATTAACATTTCCAGGAAATTTTTGAAACTTTTCCATGAGTCTGCAAATTTCCAGGTTTTCCAGGATGTGTGGGAAGGGGAAGCCCTGTGTTTCTATATTTAAAAGACAGCTGTGATCGCAGTATGACAAATATGATGCATTGTGATTGAATCTCACTGTACTGGGGGAAACAATATGTAGACACTGCCTGCACAGCGAGCACAATCATCCAGACTGAGAGGGCGAGACTGATCTGAGGCACATAAACACATGGAGTCCCAAAGCTGGGCTGTGTAGTCACATGGCCATGCGTGATGTTTATTTATGGAGAAGTGTGCGGTAGTGAGGGAGGAGAGGGGCACAGTGAGGCGATAGGCTCAGGCAGTCTGCCACAGCGTCTCATCTACAGGCCATGCTGGCTTTAACATTCGCGTTCACAGCAGTGTAAATACTGATTAACGAGGCGCCACGCTGAGAAATCAAAGTAAAGGTGACTAGCACAGACAACACTGACAATGTACGATTGCTCACGTTGGCCTGACCTTATTTATTTAAAACATCTGAATAATACAAGAACACAAGTCGATGGTCATAGCCAGTTTTCAAAAAACAACATTAAAAACTAAGAGCATGGCAGGTTTGAACAAATGGTTTAAATGAGGAACATGTTCTATATGAACCTACTGACAATGCAGCTCCTCAAATAACGAACAAATAGGCTGACTAAATGAAAACTGACAGCTACACAGACTGGCAGAACAAGCTAAAAATCTTCATCAAAGCTTTCTGAACACCTCAGGAAAAGCTCTTCATAGTCAGCGGTAAGGTACATATCCTGAAACGCAGTGAGGGAGGCATTAAAACAGTGTATGTGTAATTTTCCATAGAAGGATGGAGTCAATAAGCTGCACATATCACATGATGACATGAAGCTGTGGCTTGGGTACATAAACTGGTAAAAAGTTAAATCTTAATGTGAAGATTAATTGTGGTTCTAGTCATGTTAAATCAAGGAACAGTACAAATCCTCCTTCTTTTGTCCTGCACTGTAATTTACTAAATACAGATGTTCTTTTTACTCATCTAGAGATCTGCACTGAGTGCTGTTAAAGGACAGTGATTAAGATGTAAACCAAGTCATTCAGAGTGGTTGGATGTGGAATGTGTCACTCCAGAAATACATTCTGCATTACTGACTGGTTAAGATGTAAACAAAGTGATTTAGACTGGTCTGATGTGAAATCCTTTGATCCTTTGTTTCAGAGAAACTTGGGTCAAAATTGTTCACAGTGGTGGTGATAGGAACAAGATGTCTGGAGAATTTAATGCCTCTAAAAGCTCCCTCACAGAAAGTTATTTCAAAATGTTTATGAATACACTGCCTGACGTCTAAGACATTGTTTTACAATAGTTGTGAGAATTTTTTTAATTCTTTAAATTCATGGTGGAGAGGTACATGTAGGGTGTTGTGCTGCAATATAGTCCCCAAAGAAAACATATTTTTTCGGATTTACCACTATTTTTTCATTATCAACATTTCTCTATATATAGACTGGAGAGCAAATGATATGTGATGAAACTTTGACAATGTTTACATACTACAGCAAACTCTTTTATTTAATAAAAAGTAAGAAAAACTATGTTTTCATGATATGAGCTCTTTAATATCTATTTTATTCAAACAGTGATCGGTTTCTGACCACTGTCGGCTGAATATTCTTGGTTAACAGACTATTCTGAATTAGTTTATTTTACACATCTTTTTTAAACATGGTATTTAGGCATTATTTTAGAATTTAATACATCTCGCAGTAAAAAATAAGACATTTTGTGACCTTACAATTTTTCAATCTATTTTAAGACTTCATAAGACTTTAGCAGGAACCTGGGGCAATCAGATGTCCTGAGCATTAAATGCCTCTAAATGGTACTTAAACATAAAGCTAATATATAAAATTATTACAAAAGCCTCACCTGATGCCTGAGACATCGTTTTATGATGAGAAGGTTTTGGTCTAAAATTTTTAAGATCAATTTATTGCAGAGAGCTACATAAAAAAGCACTATAAGGCAAAGCAGCACCCAGGGAGAACTTTTTTTTTTCTTATTTTTTTTATTTTATTTACCACTATTCTACAATCATCAACATCACATATGAAAACTCAGAAGACACATGTCGGTTCAGCGTTTGTTTTGGATAATAAAATGTGTTGTTGACATTGTGATTGTGGTTCCTTTCACCACCACTGTAAAGAAATATGAGCAAGTTTCTCTACAATGAACGATTTCACATTAAAACACTGTGAATTACTTTGTTTACTTCTCGATGACTGAATTATGTGCAATTTGACAAATCAGTGTAATTCCCCTTTAATAGGATGAGCTGTATGTACTGCTCAGTATGCGTTCGACTTCCATACATTCCACGCTTCTCAAAGTGATTTTCTCTGTGGTGCTCTATGATTCAAAACCATGCTCAAATTTTCATTAGTTTCTCAGCCCACAGAGGAAACTGTAAGTACTTCTCCTTTCTTATTGAACATGCCATGATTAAATATGATTAAATATTTTCTGCTCTGCAATGCTCCATAACCTCTCCCCTGCATCAATAGCACCAAGTAATATTAATAGTGCAAATACAAACTGCCCCAAGACACATGCTATTCATCTTTTAGAGAGCCAGTAATGATTACACATTACACAAGCTGTGCTGTACCTTCAGCACCCTCACTCTCAGTTTGTTTACTTACAGTACATTAATGTCAATGACTGCTGCATTTCATACTCATAATACAGAACTGAAGCCAGTAAGAACACCATGCTTTGCCAATAAATGAGTCTGCATTCCGATTTGGCCACAAATGAACCATCTTTTGTGATGGGGTAGATTAGTTCACCTCCTACCAATGTGGAAAACAATGTAGTCTCAGATTAATCAGCGAAAAGTAAGGTGAAAACAGGGATGTAGTCTTAAAAAAGGTGAGTGAACCCTACACTTCACTATGCCCATCGCATAACTGCAAAATGATGGACAACTATATAAACTAAACATGTATTTTATCGCTATAGTGTTATGTGAGCTGCATAGCTCATGTGCTAGAACTTTTTGTTTTACTGTTGAAATGATATAAAATCATATGTTTACATTCATATTCTAGTATGAAATAACCACAGACAGACACAAAAAATGCTTCAGTATAACATTCCTTTATACCTATATTTTCTGGCTATATGCCTAGTCCAGTAGCATGTCTGGGTGGCCTGTCCACGCCCACTGTCACTGAAGCTATTAGTTGGTAGATTATTAGACTGTCACCTCTGAATAAGTCTGGGTACCGTCTGACAGTTTTTAGGAATTTAGGAGAAAAGCTTTTGTTCTACTAGAAACAAATTGCGTTACTAAATGAAAACGGGTGGGTGAACTCTCCACAGTCGCGTTCAGAAAAGGTGGTGTTTCAAATTCAAAAAAGTACATGAACATCCTTTACATGCATTTTCCCTCCACTATATATTAAGGTTTGTGTAACCTAGTCGACTAATCCAGGGGTTCCCAACCTTTTGCAACTCACTGCCAACACAAACGATCACAAAAGCTTCCACAGCCCACAAGATTTAACTGATCTGATAATTTTTTCTGACTCACCTAATAAGAGCTCATCTTGTTTGACAGCTACTGTGAGTGGTAGATGTCAGGTTGAAGAGAGGAAAGCTGCAGACTTGCTCTTTTAGATATATATTTGCTATGTTCAGTCTCTAAATCAAGGTGTAAATTGTTGGCTTTTAAAGCTCCAGTTGAAAAGACCTCTAAGCAAAAAGCATAATGTGGTAGTTACCCGTTCTAAGTTTCCAAGCACTTAAGGCCTAGTGCTAGGTATTCACTGCTGTATTTTCTTGATTTTAATATATGCTTGGTTTTCTTGAGTAAGATACGGTGGCTGCTTCACCTGTCAAATGCCCAGCCTCAGGATACACTATATGGACAAAAGTATTGGGACACCTACACATTACACCTTCAGGAGCTTTTATGGCATCCCATTCTAAATTCATAGGCCTTAATATGGAGTTGGTCCCATCTTTGCACATATAACATCTTCCACTCTTCTGAGAAGCTCTCTACAAGATTTTGGAGAGTGTCTGTGAAAATTTTTGCCCATTCATCCAGAAGAGCAGTTGTGAGGTCAGACACCGATTTGGATGAGAAGGCCTGGCTTGCAATCTCCATTCTAGTTCATCCATTAAGCATTAAGCATTAAGATTTCCTTCACTGGAACTAAGGGTCCTAGGCCAACCCCAGAAAAACAACCCTTATAGCATTACCCCTCCTCCACCAAACTTCACAGTTGGCACAATGTAGTCAGGCAGGTAACGTCCTCCTGGCATTCGCCAAACCCAGACTCCTCCATCAGAGTGCCCCCCATAGGCATCCTATGACAGTGTCATGTTTAAAGTCACTGAGCTCAGTATGACCCTTTCTACAGCCAGTGTTTGTCTGTGGAGACTGCATGGCTATGTGCTTAAATTTATAGACCTGTTAGCAATGGGTGAACTAAATAATTAGGAGGGTGTCCCAATACTTTTATCCATATAGTGTATTTCCTTTTGAAAGACTCTTATCTTACTTTCTCATTTATCCATGATGCATGAGTTCCATATGACTGAAAAATGAAAGGTTTTACATTAACTTGCACTGAAAATATAAACATGACTAGCTAGCACTTTGCCAAGTTAATCAATAAACTTGACATTTTTTTTATTTTTGCAAACAATCAGCAATATGTCACATTTAAAATTATGTTTGGGTAAATGCCTACTGTAACACATTTTTGTGGCTGAATAAAAAAACTGATGGCTAGTGGCCCCCTAGCACTCCACCCAGAGATTGAAAACCACTGGACTAGTCAACTTATAAACCCACTATCTGGCGACTAATCGAGGACACTGTCTGAAAAACAGCCGCAGTAAAAACTGCAGTGTGTTGCAGGATGAGAGAACATAAATTATTTTCTGCTAGCTGGAGTTGCTGGACATCCCATTCCAAAACCATGGCGTTCCCACCCCCCATAACACCCCCCCCCACCCTTGTGGTTATAACACCCTTCATTAGGCACTGATGTTAGACGAGAAAGCCTGACTCACAGTTGACAGTCCAATTCATCTCAAATGTGTTCAGTGGGGTTGAGGTCAGGTCTCTGTGTGCAGGCCACTGGAGTTCCTCCACACTAAACTCATCATACCATGTCTTTGGACCTCACTTTGTGAACAGGGGCACAGTGATGCTAGAACTGTGGACTTCACACCACTCGAGCCAACGCTTGCCATTGTGCATAGTGATTCTAGGCTTGTGTGCAGCTGCTCAGCCATGGAAACCTATTTCATAAAAACTCCTGACGCACAGTTATTATGCTGATGTTGCTTCCAGAGGCAGTTTGGAACTCTGTGTTGCAACAGAGGATAGGTGATTTTATGCGCTAGGCCCAGTAGGCCACACAATACTCTGTGGACCACACAATACTCTGTGAGTTTGTGTGGTCTACCACTTTGTGGCTGAGCCGTTATTGCTTCTAGACGCTTCCATTTCACAATAATAACACTTCAAATCCAGCAGCGCACAAATTTCATGAACTGACATGAAGAGCACCACGTTCAGTACAACCCATTCTACTGCCAATGTTTGTCTGTGGAGATTGCATGGCGATGTGCTTGATTTTATACAACTGTTGGGGCTGAAACACCTGAACTCAATTAGGAGAGGTGACAACATAATTGTGGCCACATAGTGTACATTTCACAGATGTCTGTAACACGTTTGTCACTCAGAAAAGTAGTTAACTACTTTTTCAAATGACTAGTTAACTAGTAACAGTTGTGCAACTCCTACAATTTATATAGTGGAAGGTTGTGACTTTTTTGATTTTGGAATATCAGCACTTGAGGTGAACTTCAGTCTAAATGAATTGTGATTAGTCTGAAGTGGTATAAATGTTTGTATTTGCCTTTTTTCTGTATGCAACAATTATGTCAAGCAACTCAATGACATCTTCATGTCCTGAAATTTCTGAAGTTTCTGCTGAAGCCTTTTTCAGCCTCATTCTTGTTTGTTTTGAGGGGTTACTGACTTTTGTTGCTCTATTGCCTTTATAATGTCAAAGTCTTCTGTGAACAGTAGATTGTCCCTGCGCTCGGGAGGGTGTTGGTGATATCACTCATGTTTTCTTTCACAGACACCTCTCAAGTCTCTGTGCTGGTTTATGCCTCCTGACTTCAAAGGCCGACATCAAAGCAAAAGCTGCCAGTAGGTCGCAGCTCCAAATAGTTACTGCATGCACAGGATAGGCAACCAAGTACTTTTGTACTGCTAAAACTTGTTTATCAGCGCTTGACGTTTTTTACTTTGTACTATTATGAACCTAAACAAAAACTTCTTCTCTTTGAAAGAATATAAAAGTACAGTATTCTGCAAAATAATCATTTTGAATTCACTGTAAAACTTTCCAGGGAGCAGTGAAAATGGTGTTTTCTTTGAAGGCTTATCAGCCAAACTGATCTTTTCATTCCTAATTCGGACCACACTCATAAACTGGCATGGGCACAGAGCTGATTTGAGCATGTCTACTTTGAACATAGCCTCATTACCTCTTTGTAACCTTCACCATGGCTAAACTAACATTTCCTACCTGTGTGAGTTTCTGATCCTCAGACATGTGGCTCCTGATGAAGCCCATAATGTCCTTGTAGATTTCACTCAGCTTCTCGTAGTCACCATTCAGTGGAGGCACCAGTGAAGCGCTGCAGAACAGAAAACAGCTGAGGGAAATGTTACTCTAATCAACATGCATACTGGTAAACTTAGACAGAAAAGACCACCCAATAGAAAAGTCATTAACAGTTACATTACAAAAGCTTTTTCTTTCTTCTATAAAGTTAATGTTTTGGAAATAAGTTTTCTTACAACAGCAGTGTTATATATTCACTTATGCCAGTTTCCAGTACATTGATTCAAACTAAATTACACGGTCTCTCCAGTGGACTCTCCAGTCCTATATAATCTACAACTAGGCTTAATCAGCAAGGACAGCTGAGGTAAACAATATTCATGCATTATCCACCAACAGTAAATGCAACATGCAAGTACAGGAGGATACTGCATTATAATTCATTGCATGTGTTTAAGAGGCACTTCCAGAAGAAGCGTGACTGAGGCAGTTAATGTACTGTCAAGCTTTCGCATCAAGGTGATAAAGCGTGCTTTCAGTATGCACCAACTAATTAAGATGTTACAGATGACAAGTTTCATTCACCGTGTTTGTGATCATAAACATAATATACTGTTCTTCTTAAGCGATACAGTATACATCTATGACTGGCCTTAGAGAAATGACTCTAGTGAACTATTCAATATATTAGTTGATACATACTGAGTTTTAAATGCTTGATGATAAACATTTCTCATGCTATGATTGGTGCGTAATGAGATGAATTACAAGGAACATGAACTAACAAGTCATTACTTTTTTGTAGACACGCATTTATATCTATAGAATGCATCTGTATATTTCTATATATAAAATCTATACTTATTTAAATATGTCTTAGTAGTATGTCAGGGTTACGATAGCTATTTATTAATCTATTATCAGTTGTCAGCTATACCTCCTTTCAGACTCATAGCATTGTCTTCTCACAGTGGAAGGATTTACAGAAACATCTGGATTTTTTCAGATCTGAAGCAAGAGCTTGGTTTTCTCCTCTCTCTCAAAGATGAAAGCTTTAAGTACTGTTGAGCTGATGGTAACATTTTTTGTGGTCTACCAGGTCTTGCACAGTTGCTAAGAATCCAATTTTGTGTATTTCTTTTAAATAATTTTTTTGAACTCCTGTTTTGGGAATTATTATAATTCCAATTTCCTCAGAAATATCTCCTAAAAATTGAATAACTTGATGGCCGTTTTGATTGGAAATTAAAAAAACAAAAGGGTGGTCTGGACTTTTCCACAGTACTATCTATCGCTGCTGTCAGAACAAAAGCTTATATCTCTGAAATGATAACTTTACAGGAGAAAGAAAAAAACATGCTGTACTTTTAAAAGAAGTCAATAGAACCAGACTTTTTCCTCCTTTTGGGCCGTTTTTTTTGGTCCATTCATCATGAAATTTACACACAAATTTACACACAAAAAGGACAGCAGGCATATTCAAATTATGCCAAAAACTGAAAAACGATAAAAGCGGAGATACAAGGTTTTGTTCCGACAGTGTGAAGTCTCACGTGTTATCGCTGATTGCAAACTGACTGACATCTCTGTGGACATTTCCATGCCTGTTGATATCTGTGAATATCCTTATGTTTAGATTAGGGATGTATTATGTGGACCAAATACCTGTATGCCATTATATCACTGCATATTGTGATTGCAATGTGCTGGCTTGTGCCATTATGACTAAAATTATGTATTGATTTGGATTAATACCTTGATTTATTAGAACACACAGAGAAACTCTCATCTGGAGCTGTGATTGGTCACAGCAAAAAGTAGTGTAATTAGTTAAAGGGCTCATTTGCATATTGCAACCTTCTGAAATATAGCTAATTCTAATACTGTGATAACGATTAACAAACAATGCAACCCTAGTCTAGATGTCAAGGTCCATATTTATTCTGAGTGAATGTCTATGTATGTTTATGGATGTTACAATCTATTGTCTACTGTTGTGTATGTGTGTTTCATATATATATATATATAACCTTGTGTGTGTGTGTGTGTGTGTGTGTGTCTGTGTGCCTGTGTGTGAGCTTTGTGCCTGTCCTAGAGGGAGCACCCCCTGACTGTGATTGATTGCTTCAATCGGGACGCAGCAGACATCCTGGATTAGAGTGCTACGTGAGGAGACTGTTCTCTCCCTGCAGATCCACTCATCTACCTGCTTCTGTCATCTCCCTTCTCTCTGTCCTCCCTAGAGATGCTTCTCTAGCAACAGTTTCTCCTCCAAAATCACAGATCCCACCTAAGTGCCTCCTTCTTCTGGCCCTAAAATATTACCTTCAACCCTTTAATACAGGACTCCTGAGACTTTTTCAACCAGGCTTACTTAAAACTGATCACTTTCCTGATGCTGTTTTCACTGTTTCATCACTTTCATCTCAGCTAATCTGACTGAGATACAAAATGGACAAGCAGAGAAACAGGAAGGAAAATATAATGTCCTCCAGTGAGCACATAACTTACAGGCTTTTAACATGAAGCCATAAAGGCTATTACTTTACTGTAACTGTGGATACAAAGCACACGTTTTCAGACATGGTCAACTACAATGTACTCAGGAACCACTGACAAATTGGCCTTTATCCATTACATTGGATAAAACTGCACCGCTTGCTGTTTTAGTTCAGTTGATACTACATGGAATTTAAAGGCACAGAGAGATGCATCCAGCCAGACTTGATACGTTATTCTGCTTAGGCTCACACGGTAAGTCACAGCCAAGAAACACTCAAATATCTATAAAATGCTTAACCCCTTAAATTCATAGGTTAATTACATCCTAAAGCCATGGTCATACCAAACGCAAGTTCATCTAGTTCAACTATAACCCCATGAATTTGTGAACCTTGGAAGCGTCAGGCAAAACAAAACAAGAGGGCGAGCTGTGGTGTCGCTTGTCACTCTCAGTTAAAAAAAAAAACAAACAAAAAAGTAGTTAACGTAATGAACGTTAACCATTTCCTGAACTATATTGTTCCCTCCAAACCATATAACATCAGTACTGCCTGTACTCACCTAACTTTTGCTCCACCCTCATGAAGAAAACAGCTTGGCGACAATCCGGTGCAACCACAGCTTAAAGCTTATCATTCAGTAACTACAACCCCAAAAAAGTTGTGATGCTGTGCAAAATGTAAATAAAAACAAAATTCAATGATGTGCAAATCATTTAAACCCTCTATTTCATTGAAAATAGTACAAAGACAACATATTAAATGTTGAAACTGAACAATTTTATTGTTTATTGAAAAATATATGCCCATTTTGAATTTGATGCCAACAACACGTTCCAAAAAAGTTGGGATGGGGGCAAAAAAAGGCTGGTGTAATGCTAAAAAAAAACACCTGATGGTTAATTGGCAACAGTCACTAACAAGATTGGGTATAAAAAAGCATCCCAGAGAGGCTGAGTCTTTCAGAAGTAAAGATGAGGAGGAGTTCACCTCTCTGTGAAAGATTGCACAAGCAAATAGTGCAACAATTCAAGAATAACGTTTCTCAATGTAAAATAGCAAAGAACTTTTCGACATCTACGGTACAAAGTATCATTAAAAGATTGAGAGAATCTGGAGAAATCTCTGTATGCAAGGGGCAATGTTGAAAACCAGTATTTGCTGGCCATGATCTTTGGGCCCTCAGGCAGCACTGCATTAAAATCATGGGCACTGTCCTTTGGGCTAAAGACCACTCAGCTTCTTATCAGTGCACTGTTCAAAAGCCAGTATTCATGATGGTATGTGGGAGCATTAGTGCACATGGGAAACCTGCACACCTATGAAGGCACCATTAATGCTGAACGATATATACATGTTTTGGCAACATATGCTGCCATACAGATGATGTCTTTTTCAGGGAAGGCCTTGATTATTTCAGCAAGACAATGTAAAACCACCTTCTGCATGTATTACAAGAGCATAGCTCCATATTAAAAGAGTCTGGGCGTTAAACTGACCTGCCTGCAGTCCAGACCTGTCACCACTGAAAACATTTGGCGCATTATGAAATGAAAAATACGACAAAGCAGACCCCGAACTGTTGAGCAGCTGAAATCCTACATCAAACAAGAACGGGAAAACATTTCACTTTCAAAACTACAGCAGTGTCTCTTCAGTTCCCTAACACTTACTGCGTGTTGTTAAAAGAAGAGGTGATGAAACACAGTGGTAAAACATGCCCCGTCCCAACTTTTTTGGAACATATTGTTGGAATCAAATTCAGAATGGGCATATATTTTTCAAAAAACAATAAAATTTCTCAGTTTCAACACTTGACATGTTGTCTTTGTAGTATTTTCCTTTAAAAATATGGTTTACATGATTTGCATATCATTGCATCCTATTTTTATTTACATTATGCTTAGCGTCCCAACTTTTTTTGGAAATGGGGTTGTACATCGAAAACAACACAAACTAGCTGAGTTATTCTTAGGTCACAGGAATGAGAAATGAAAGCCAACAATGCAGACAGCCCCAGACCATTTAAGGTGTTAAAGTTAGATTGGTTTCATCACTGCTATAATGAGTTAGACCAGCAGGTGTACCTATGATGTATGTAACCTTGCTCCTTCGTCATCTTGGTAACAACCATTTAACAATCTAAAATCAAGCATCTTACATATATTTGTGTGGTCCTGACTTTTCAATTACCTTTTTTTACCCACTTTTCTACTTAACCCAGATCTAGTCAAAAGACTATTCAATTTCCAAATTTTGCTTCTTTAGTTTCGCGCTGAAGATATGAGGCTAATGTTTGCTAACAAACACTGCAACTCAACAGCCACCCTAATCTTATACATAAATACATGACCAAATCTTCTCTCAACCCACTCATACCGTATCCAGGTCTTTAATAAGGTCACACAGACTTGGTGATGTGGTTTAGGGCACAATATGACCAACTGTGAACTATGAAAACAAGTAAAACTTGTTAAGCTAAACGCAGCAGGGAGCCACTTTAGACAACAGAGGGGCGGTGCCAAAATCTGACTCCCCTTCATGTGCACGCATTTCACACAGGCACAAAGATGCTACAGATTTCTTTTGCGCTTCTGTTGTTCCTATTTATAAACAACTGTTCATCTTGAATTTTTAAACTTAAGATACATATTTATAAATAGAAACTCAGTTTATAATAACAGAAATTATAGAAATTTTGTTTATAATCAGAAATCATGAATGTAGTATTTATAATGCGCATAAACATCAGGCATAGTCAGAATTTGGCACAACACCTGCTGTGTGATTTGGGTGACTATAGAGTTTTAGTGTTTGTTACCTACATAAGCCTTGTAGCTTATGTAGGTAACAAGCGAAATCTGGACACCAAGGCCACTGACTACATCTGAGGTAAGCGGTAAATTGTGTACATTTTTTTTCGCTGAACCATTCCTTTAATGATTGCATTATCACAATCAATAGATACAAGAGCTGTCTTGCCAACTATTTATGGATTTGAATACTGTACATTAGGCCTCTTGTATAAATGTGTATGTCTGAAGTGAATGCTAAATGGTACCTGTTTGCACATGTGGCATCCATGTCTCTCTGCACCACATCATAGGCATCCTGAAGAAGGTCCTACCAGAAATAACATGAAAACAAAGGACAAACTTAATATCCTGTGGCTCTTATAACAACCAAATCATCAGTCACAGTGCTCTCCATAGACAGAGTAAGATTTTACACAGTTTTCTCATCTACTTCCTTCTAGTTTATGATCCTTCCAACCACAAATATTCTGCAAATTCAGAAATGATGAGCCACACTGAGGAAAAGAGAAATTTCAAAAGCAGCTGGTTAGGAGGTTAGGCTCCCCTCTACAGTGGATGCAATACTAAAGACATCTTTTGTGTTTTGGGAAGTGAACTATTTCCTCCAGTGACATTATCAGAGTATGACAGTGATGATGTGACAAGAGTGGGCACTGATAAGCCTCATTTTCAAAGCACCATCTGTGCCCACTTCAGCCACAGCAGTCCTCCAACGAGCAAACACAATTCCACTGGCTTCCCTGAGGCCAGGAGAGACTGGCACTCCCCACGGAAACCTTCTCGAGCTGGCAAAGAAGGATTAAATGATGGCATCTGTCCTTAGAGAAACCCATGTGGCAGAGACTGCTGGAAAATCACACCTCCTCTGGAGCACACCTTTGTGCTGCTGTCTGATAAAGAAATCTCACCTCCAGGTCCTCTAGACAGTGATAAACAGCTTTCATATTGGATGGGGCCCTGGAGAAAGGATCTTGTTTATGTAACAGGCTATGCTATTCACACATTAACAAGGTTAATGTTACTAAAGGAAGTCTAGGCTCAGGGGAGTTAAGGAGAATATAGGCTGAGGCAAAGATGTGCTGCCAACGGCTGTTAGAAAAAGGAGTAATTGTAGCAGAAATTGGAAACAGTAAGAAAATGACAAATGACTCTCAGCATAAACCAAAATTTGCAGTACCACTCCTTACCTCCTCGAAGGCAGAACTTCCAGACGCGTTTAAGTTGGTAAGCTGGGATGAGTCCAGTGAGCTGCAGGGGGTGTTATTAGCTGGTCCTATCCAAGTGACAGCGCTTTCTTTCAGTGTGCACTGCTGGACTGCAGCCCTTTGCTCTGGAGACAGGCTATTCCACAGGCCTGAGATGGCCTCTGACACCACAGGCAGGCCCGTCTGTTCTGGGGAAAGGATTCCACTGCGTAGTAAGAGCTCTACAGTCTGCCTGTAGAAAAAGAGATATCTACACAAAGAAAGAGTTTTCCACTCAGTTGAGTGAAAATGCTTATTTACGCTTATTTACTTATATGTTGCTGATTTTGCACTCAACTTATTAGTGAGCACTAGAGCCTGAATGATGTGAAAAATCAGTCACAATACTGATTTTGTATGGAGTTCAAAATCCTAAAAACCAATAATATTGACAGATATAACTTTATATGGTCAAAACATGAAACAGATTCCAATGGTTCTGCTTAAGGTCAACCTTAAAACAAGATTTTTGTCCTGTAACTAGTTCATGTCTCGGGTCATACTGAGCATGATTCATCATCTCATACCATTTAAAAGACACAGTTCTTATTTTTCTATAATCTGCCATCAAACTCCAGTTCAAAGCATACCTCGAAAAAGTCTGCTTATAGACTACATCATGGTGCACCAGCGGGCGAGGAAAAATAGTACTAACCAGTAATATCACTACCTCCCACTCCCACCACCCCCTCCTAAAAATGAGACTGTTGAGACACTACGCAGAAGATGTTACGCTTACAAAAAGAAATGTACTGAACAGGTGGGACAATATTGCCTTAGCTGATATTTTAAGCTTTGGGGCTCAGAACTCAGAAATCTGCTAATACTTTAATTTGCTGGTGTTTTAGTGTCATGCCACAAAAGAGTGAAACAGTTGTGAAGGGAAGCAAATTAGCAGGCTGTAATGAAAATTATTTCCATAGATACCAGTAAATCAGTGGAACCATGATTTTGGCCGATTGTTTCATCCAAACGATATATTAGTAGGGCCTTAATCCTAAATTACAAAAGTTGAGATCCTCATTCTGATGAACTCACCCCTCAAACTCCTGGATGCTGTAGGCAGATAACCCAGAGGACTGGGACTGCAGCGCTACATTCACGTCCTCATCAGCAGAGTCTTCCTCACTGCTGCCTGGTCCCTGGTCCACATCAGGCACATGAACTCTATGCTTGCGTCTACAGGTGTGCAAACTAATTAGGAGAAAATATGTTACCAGAGTAATTAACAACACAATTCTAAACACTCACACAGAATTATATGCATTAAGAATATTAAAATGTTCCAGTACCTAACAGCAAAGCTGAATTTGGTACAGTAGGTTGAGGACCTAAACCTGTTACGGTATTATACTTAAAAAAGAGTATTTGCTGCCATCTACTGGTACTTGAAGTACTTACAAGCATTTGGAATACAGTCTCCTATACTGCTTTCGCACCTCTTCCAAACTCTTTGGTCCTCCATCATCTTGCAGGAAAACACCTGCAAAAGTCAACAATTTAGCCATGATCAATATCACAGAAACGTAAAGTCAAAGTGAATAGGAAATCATAATCTTTTTCCTGGTTAAAATCATTACATTTTGATTCTGAACAAGAATTCTATCTCTTATTGGAATGGTAAGATGAACTATGCTTAATATAACCAGGAACTGAGCCAACAAGGTAAAAAAAAGGTCTATTTTGATTTCAGGTAGACTTTAAAATCTGCTTAGTCCAAAAAAGTATGTGTGTTTATTACTTTACCTTTCAGTGCAAGTAATTTACTGAGGTAGGCCTCCTTCTCAAGTAGAAATCCTTTGGCATGATCAAGGATCTTCCACTGCAAAAACCAACATAAGCAACTATTTTTATTCTCATTGACACCCAATAATCAAATTACACTTTTCGGTGCTTTAAGCACTCCATCTGTATTTTAATGTTAAAAAAATCCAACAGATTTGCACTTGTATCATTAGTAACCAAGTCTTTATTAACTTCTTTCAACTCATTTACCTAATGAACCACAAGCTGTTCTAGAGTTCACCTCTCACAAAACTTTCATTTAAGTTTCACAGTAGTTACTGAATAATTCATGGCAGTCACTGCATAAATAACCTGAAGATCAAAGGAATGGTTCATTTTACTTAAAGAAACTGAGTTTTTAAAACTGTTTTGGAGAGTTTTCCTGTGCAATGCAAGATTCTGAAGTATGGAAGCTTCACTGAACTGCATGTACTTTTGGGTTCAAAAAGTGCAACCATACAAAATACAACAGCATCGCATTGTGGGCTTATTGTGTGGATTATAAATGAGCATTTTAAAATACTGAATTTTTTTAGCATAAAAATATTTACCTATTAGCTCCACAGCTAATAATCAGGCTGTACTAGCTTTTGTTATCTGTGTTCATCTCCCTGAATGAAACAGTTGTACAGAAGTGTTAACAACATATCACTCCCAACAACATACAAACAGGGCAGAACAGTAAGATAGTCCCAGATAACTTGCAATACTACATGCTTTCTGTTCTTTTTCCTCTTGTCTTATGATGGAAATAACTTGGAGAACACCGCAGCACTTCATTAGAGTATATTATAAAAGCAATGCTTCATTCTGTGCCATGTGGAAGCCTACGGCCTAAGCCTGTGCCCCATATCTTACCTTAAAAGCATCTTTTTAAAAAACCTCTGAAATCTGAAAAATGTTTTTTTTTCAAGAAAACTGTCAGACTCTGCCTGTTTATTGTTTATTAATTATTAACTTGTTTATTAAGGGGTTGATTACAAGCTTAACTGTTTTCTTACCTTAGCAGGGGTCTTCTGAGTTGAAGGACACACTACATTTCTAAGGGACTCGAAGAGATCTGCTAAAGTGACTCGCTGGCAGGCCTGCAGCGCTGTTCCCTGCCCTGACCGATGTCCAGCTGCCGTTTCCCTCTTCTTTCCCTGGTGACTACTAGGCGCAATGTCTCTACGAGACATGTCTGCTGAGAAGAAGCCCCAATTAACTTCAATAAAGGTTCATTTAAGTCCAGTTGAATTTAAATTAACAGTATAACTTTGGTGTTAGTACACTGGGGATTTTGCTGTGTTCTTTGTTGTAAAGAAAAACAAATATGTAACCAGCTAAATAAAGTTAATGATTAGGCTAAAATTCAGTAATCTGTAAATATGTTTTCTATTAGTTCAAATAAGGTTGATATCTGAATTATATCAGTATCAGCAGATACTTGTTTTTAAAAAATGGACAGATGATTAGATTTGACCGATATTTTATGTTGTATTGTACTCACTGGACGCTACTGTGATGCTAATTCAGGTCACCCCAATTTCTACATTTCATAAAAGTGTATGTATCAGGATTAGCATCGCCATCGGTACATAAAAAATATCAGCCACGGCCCACAGTTCCCATATCAGTGCATTCTTGAGTTCAAATACTTAGAGGGGAATTCCACCAATTATTCAAAATTTCTAAATAATTCAGTCCTTCAGATGGAAACTCAGAGTGTTGTGATGTGAAATGGTTCATTGTAGAGAAACTTAAGACTCAGACTCTTCAGACTCTATTGATTTATTTACAGAGGTAGAGATAGGAACCAGACGCCTGAAGACTTTAATCTCTAAAAGCTCCCACACACAAAGTTATTACATGAATACACTGCCTGATGTCTGAGACCTTGTTTAATGATAGTTTTGTGATAATGCTTTGGCTGAAAATGTATTTTAATCCATATATTGTAATCCGTTCGTGGCAGAGGGGTACATGTAGGGTGTTGTAAGACATACCAGTCCTCAAAAAAAAAACTTTTTTTCATACTGATGACTATTTTACCACCATCAACATTACAGATAAAAACTCAGAAGACACGTGTAGGTTCACTGGTCTTTTTGTATACTAAAAAGTGGCTATATTTGTGTTGTAGACATGGTGACCCCTGGTCCCTATCACCACCACTGTAACCTAAAGGAATCAGTAGAGTCTGAAGAGTCGCTACGTTTTTTTTAATAGTCTCTAGAATTTTGAACAATTGGTGGAATTACCCTTCAAGAACTGGTTTTCAACTCAAGCCCTGGAGATCCACTGCCCTGAACGTGTTCTCTGCCACAAACAAACCAGCCCACAAAGAGCCTGATTAATCCCCTGAGAGCTGGGTCAGGTGTGCTGGGAAAGGGAGTAGTTGGCATGTGATCTGCTATCAACACTGTTTTTCAAAAGGTATTAAGTTTCAAAAGTATTAATTATTGTCCACCTGGCCGTGGTCTCAGAGACAGCTGGCTCCCTTGTGAACTGAGTGCCCTTCAGTTAATGTTAGAGGATATAACGTTAATTTTGGTTATGTTCATCCAATAAACAGATGTGGGGTCTACCGCACAGCAGGTTATACAACTACATGTTGTTAGGGATGGATAATTTATTTCACTCACTAACTATTCATGGGCAATAATGAGAGTGATACATTTCCGTATGGCTGAGTGAACAAAACGTCAAAAACACGTTAGAAATGCTTCCCTTTCTGCGAATGTTGTTTTACTAAAAACAGTGAGTTATCAATATAGAAAGCACTACTGAAACACGAAAATGCTTAAAATAATGGGTTTAGATGGTTTTTCTACATGTGCAGCGAACCTAAATATGTGGACATTGGCGACCAACCCTTTAGATAACCATGTCAGAGACTCACGCTAACGCTACCTAGCTAGTTAGCGTCAGCTAACTTACAGCCGATCAACTGTCGTCTATGAGCCTTCAGCTTAACTAAATTAGCTGCATAAGCTAACATAACTTTATAGTTTAAAAGACAAACATAGCCAGTTTACATAGCTAGTTTGTTTACTTTAGGTGAAAGATGAAATTTCGTGTTTGTTACTGAAAACTTTACAGTACACTTTTCTGCACTTAGCTAGCAAGTGACATACACATCTAGCTAGCGTTAGCTAACCTAGTTAGCGTAACAAGCTACCGCTAGACATTTAGCAGCGAACCGCACAACCATATTTAGTTAGCTAATAAAGTCAGTCAGCTTGTTACGGAGAACTGACCTTCTGAATTTCACTTCAGATTTTCAGGTGACCTGACTTTCTTTTCACTGAACATAAGCAAAAACAAAAACAAAGTGATGTGAGCTTCCGTAGGTCATGAAACATCGCCTGAGGAAGTTCTGCTCTCAACAACAGTGACTTCTCTATCCGTCTTGACACCAGATTGCAGTATTGAGTACTTCGGTGGAAAATCCTTATTATTCCTTCATTATTAGGCTTTGAATTTTGTGCAGTCACTTCCATAATGACAAAATTAGTTACACACGAGTAAACTGCTTTAGAAAAATAAAAATGATTTTTTTTTCATTCCGATGATAATGATAAATAATATCCCAGGTAGAACTGAACACCTAGAAAGATATGGTGAACATCAGCTGAGTTCTACTTTTCATAGCGTTTGGTTCCAATTCCCCTACATAAAATGTTTACATAGTTAAAATGTAATTTGTTCTTCACTCAAACCAGTAAACTGATTTAAGCACACAGATCAGGTCTGCACAACTCCGGTCCTGGAGGGCCAGTGTCCAGCACAGTTTGGACATTTTCCTACTAATTCACACCTGATTCAACTTATCTGTTGATTGCCAGGTTTAGTGGGTGTGTTTAAATAAGGGAACTACCAACCTGTGCTGGACACCGGCCCTCCATGACCGGAGTTGTGCACACCTGACATAGATCTGCAGCAACAACACCTTCTCAAGCTTGCTGGGTAGTTAACTTGTAATGAGCACCTCTGGACAATTGAACACCTGTAACAACACTTACTTTTTTTCCTGAAATTTCTATGGTTTTATTTTAATGATTTGTGATTAAAGGGGTTTCGTAAAGGGGGACTCAAAATTTCTGCATAATTAAATGGTTGACATGTCAGCTAAATCATTCAGAGTGGTTTGGCATGAAATGCTATGTTCTAGAGAAACTTACCGAGCCAGAATTGTTCACAGTTGTGGTGATAGCAACCAGAAGTCTGAGGAATTTAACGCCTTTAAAAGCTCCCAGAAAATCATTACATGAAACGGTTATAAATACAATATGAATATTTGAATCTGTTCATGGTGGAGGGATACATAAGGATTGTTTAAGGGAAAATAGTCCCCAAAGAAAGCTTGTTTTTTCAGATTGGCCATTATTTTACTGTCATGAATGTTACATATAAAAACTCTGAAGACATGTATAGGTTCACTGGGGTTTTTCAGTATAATTAAAATGGGTGTATTTGCATTATAGACATTAGGTCTCCTGGTTCCCATCACCACCATTGTAATGAAATCTCAGTCTGCAAGTTTCTCTGTAAAATAACCATTTCACATCAAACCGATTTGAATGACTTGGTTTATATGTCAACCACTGCGCTATACAAAAAAATCAGTGGAATTCCCCTTTAACCCTTTAAATGGCCAGGCCCTGCCAGCAGGCCCAGAGTTTTATTACACACTTCTATAACCTATGAATAGCTCAGCCAGTTCCTGTCCCTGTAGTTACTGAATAATAAGATTAGAATAAGGGCAGTCGTCATCCTAAAGAGATCACAAACCTCCACAGACTATGACAAACACGCCATCACAAAGAGTTACATATGGAAACACTACACTGTTGGCAACCAGAGCTTTTTATTTATCTTATTACTGTTTACAGTTCTTACTGTTTATTATAAACTATTACACAGTTCTATGTCAACACTGAATAAAACTTTATTAATCTATTAATTAATATGCTTTACATTAAATATTTGAGATGAACCAGCTGACCACAAACTATGAAAAAGAGGGAAAAAGAGAAGCCATTATGTTAACTATGGATTTATTTATTTATTTATTTATTTTTATTTGTGAAACTTGATGTCAAGTGCAAGTGTAAAGGGCCCATATCATGGAAAAATGAATCTTTCATGCTAAGAATTTGATGTAGTATATAAACACTGTTAAGGTTTCAAAATGTAACGCTGAGTCCTCAGTGCATACATGGAATTAAGCTGCTAAAATGACCTGTTTTGAATTCATTGTGTTTGTGATGTCACAAAAACCAATACATTTACATGTCCTCACCTATTCAGCCTACAGCAGTTTAGCCCTGCCCACTCACATTAAACTTATAAGGAGCGTTTCAGCCAAGAATGCTCTTTGAATGAGGCAAAACACATGGCAGCCAATCACAGAGTTCATTTACATATATCAGTCTTAAAGGTAGAGCAACAAAAGCAGTCTATTTAATTTATTAAAATCCCAGGGTTATTATTTAGTAACTACAGGGACCTCAATGCAAACTGGTTGAGCTATTCTTAGGTTATAGAAGTGTGTAATAAAACATTACACTTGTCGGTGGGCCCTAGCCATGTAAGGGGTTAATCATAAGGGATAAAGAAAGGCTGGAAATGATTGTGTAAAAATTAATTCTGTTTTTGGTACACAAACTCTTGCGAAAGTCATAAGTGAACCTGGGACACTAAAGGAAATAGAAAACGGTGGCATTTGGGCCCTTTAAAGCACAATTAATGCTAATCTGTGGTCAGTTTAACTGTAGCAAGGTTCTTCAAGGTTAGCATGTTCATATGGAAAGTGATCTCACACAGTTTAAAGGTTACACCACTGTGTGATGGTCCTATGAGAGCATTAAGTGACAACGTATGTCTTTCTAAGCACTCACCACAGTTATGGCCTTTTATCTGCACGCCCATTTGCTGTGAAGAAGCTTTCAGGGTGATTAGAATGGGTTCTGACATGTCCAGCCTGAGTCGCATTGGCCTGTCAATCTGTGCAGAGCTCTGTCCTTATTAAAGGGTTTGCCAAACAGTCACGCTGGCACTTCAAAAACAGCCCTTCAGATTATGGATTAAGCAATTACTTTACCTGTGTAAATGTCATGACTCTGTAAACAGCCGCTGCAGGTTATTGCACTGTCCCCTTCCTGCATTACAGAGACAAGGAGAGCGGCTGCTGAAGCTAAACCTTCGATGCGCTGTGTTATGGTGGACACAATTTTTTCCAAACAAAAACAAAAACTTAACCAAAACCTGTGATTCAGTGTTGTTTACCATCGAATCCAACTTAACCCTGGGTCTTTTCAAGTATGTGTCGATTATTTTTTACGATTTTTAAGAACCAAAATTTTACTATGCCAAAAATCGGGGATGCACTGATATGGGAATTATGGGCCAGTGCCGATATCCAATATTTTTCATGTAGGATTAGGATTAAATTCCAATTATTTATTTATTTATTTATTTATTTATGCTCTACTTTTCCAGACTACCATGATTCTCATCAAATCTCAGTTTGAAATATCACACCTGTCTGATGACTTTTTTGGTAACACTTTCTATGAATGTCATGTTTGTAAGCATCCATAAACACATTCATAACATGTTATAATGCATTCATAAGGCATTATAAACATGTTTATACATATTTATAAAAATGTATTACACCTTATAGCCAGGTTTATTATACATTATGAATTGTTAATATAATGCATTAGAAGTAGTGTTAATAACATGTTATACTATCAGTGCCAAAGAAGTCAGTCCCAGCTTGGACAGTGTAAAGACAAATACTACGTTTATTTACAACCTGAGATTTCTAATATTTTATCTCTCAGTGCTGGTGCTGTTAGGGCTGCATCTTCCAGGCCGTCCAGCCTAGAATTATTGCTACAATGTGCTTTTCTTAACCAGCGCTCTCACTTTAAATGTTACATTACATCACAACAAAACAAGCCCCTCCCCTGATCCCCCTCTGACATTGCACTGAGCTTGAAGTTACTGTGAAGGCATGGAGAGTGAGATGTGAGATAGTAGCTGTCATTCTAATTTGTAATAATCTCTCACTGGTTCTAACGTCAAGCACTAGAACCCTTTACTCTGTAACATCACTACACTACAGTACAGTAATGCTAATTTCTGCTAGCATTCTATTGGATATGTAGTGTTAAGTTAGTGCCAAGCTAACGGTGGTGTACATTGACTTTCCCACATTGGGTAAAACACTGATGGCAGCAGTAGTTCTTCAGTAAATACTTCAACTTGAAGCCTCACTTGTAACACTGAAGGAGGCTTTAGTACAGTGCGCTTCACTTTACTTAAAGCAGACAAATACAACTTATGAGCTCTTATGATTTTGTTATGAACACAGCTTATAATGCATTATATTAACAATTCATAATGCATAATAAGCATGGCTATAATGTGTAATACATTTTTATAAATATTTATAGCCATGTTTATGATGCCTCATGTAATGCATTTCTACATTTTATGAATGTGTTTATAGATGCTTACAAATGTGACATTCATAGAAAGTGTTACCACTTTTTTTTTTTAAACAAATATCTACAGGTACAGATACGGTTCTGATATAATTGTGCATCCCTGCTGAAAATGGTAGTATTTATAATTCATAAATGATCAATATTTAAATTTCCATATCACTATTCGACATTCAGAGCAGCACGGTGGCGCGGTAGGTAGCGTTGTCACCTCACAACAAGAAGGGCCTGGGCTCAATTTTCAGCCGGGTGACCAGGGTCCTTTCTGTGTGAAGTTTGCATGTTCTCCCTGTGTCTGCATGGGTTTCCTGCGGGTGCTCAGGTTTCCTCCCACAGTCCAAAGACATGCAGTCAGGCCAATTAGACGTGCTAAATTGGCCCTAGGTATGAGTGTGTGTGAATATATATGTCTGTCTTCCCTGTGATGGACTGGCGACCTGTCCAGGGTGTTTCCTGCATTCCGCCCAATGACTGCTGGGATAGGCTCCAGAACCCCCTGCGACCCAGAAGGATAAGCGGCGTAGAAAATGTGTGTGTGTGTGTGTGTATTCGACATTCATTTTTTAAAATTGAATTTAGTGTTACATCAATGAATGAGATGTATATTTTATTAAACATGATATTTGGTGCCAAAATACAGACATACAGTAGGCCGTGCTGGCAAACTGCCAAAGAATTTGAAAACTTTTTCCAGTCCAGTTTTCCAGTTGAACCAGGTGTGTTGAGGGCACACGTGAAACCTTACACCAAACTGTGCTGGCCTCCAGCTCTCCGTTAGCAGCACTGGTGACCCCTGCCTTAAAACAAACCCCAGCCAGCAAAACAGTCAAACATAAATAAAAAAAGAGAGAAGTGCCAAAATACCTTTCTGAGGAAAAAAGCACTGCTTATTAATTAATTATTTATTATTTTTTTATTTGTTTGCTTGTTTGTTTTAAATAAAATGACATTTTTAATAAGTAATTTTTAAATAGTCCCAGACAATTTGTAGAGGCTCAGTTAGTCCTCACCTAGTAGTGGCGTTATGGCGCCCTCTGCTGTTCACATTACACGTTTTCTCGCCACCATATAGCGCCAGAACTTCTACCATATCAACAGTTAACAGTCCAGCAATGCTCTATCCACCATTCTAACACCATTGATCCAGAGACCAGTAACGTGTATGCACTGTTGAAAGAGTAGAAGAACACCCCTAAATGCTGATTACTGTTGCTCCTGCCCGTCTCTGAGGGGTTTGGTCTGATGTGAGACTCCTGTGCCTTTAAGCAGCCTGTGTTGTCCTGCGCTGCAGGAAGTGTGAGGGGTGTTCCCGCAGAGCCGAGCTCTTCTCTAAAGCAGACGGAGAGGAACGACCATGTCTCACTCCTCTCCAACTGTCATCCAGTGTCCGTAAAATGACAGCGGGAGTGTGACCCCCGCTTCTTTTTTATCCCCCGTTTACTCACTTAGTGAGGACAAGCGTGACTTTAAAGCACCTTCAGGCCGCTGTTGCTGTGTCTCCCTCCCGCATCCAGGTCCGTTCTCTCCTCGCTGCTATCAGACTGTCATGAGCTCAGTTTGGGGATGGCGTCCTTTCCAAGTTACGGTAAGACGGCGGTGCCAGCGGAGGAGGAGAACGGCGAGTTGGACCAGTCTCTGCAGCACATGCTGAAGGCCATCGCCGACGAGAGGAGCCGCCTGAACAGCCGGCAAGAGATGAGCGGACTGGGTGAGTCTTCATTCAGCCTCCAGCGCCACTGCCTTCATCGGCTTCTTGTTCAAATTTTCCATTCCACCTTAAGTGGTGCGGCAGTTGCATTCTGTCCCTCTGGGGCAGGATAGAACTGCCGGACCATTTAAGGTGGAACGGAAAATTCGAACAACAATTCAACTTCAGTTTCGTTCAGGCTAGCTGCGCTAACACCACCAACAACAGCCTTGCCCCAGAAATAAAGCTCGCTGTGGTGTGTACAAGGACGCTGTCTGTTATAAAAACCAATCCAAATCCTACAAAATACCTGTCATGTACCAAAACTAACCTTAAAACACGTAAGACTGTCTTTCAGTAGGTCGAGTTAAGCTAAGCTAAGCAGCGCTTATGTTATGTTGTTGGACGGTAATGACGTCATGCCGTTGAGCTTTACAGTGCTGGTCGTGAGGTGAAAGACAACACTGCCTATTTCTCTCCAGCTGGAGTGAATAAATTGTAAGTCTCAATAACGGAGGAACATGTTGAGTGCAAAAAAATGCAACATTTTTCATGCCTTGTTAGTAAAAAGTTAAAGAAAGCCCTAGAGGTAACGTCAGAAGTGGCCTGCCCAAGACAAAGCAGGCTGTGCTACACCACAAAGCACTTTTAGCCAGATAAACAAGGTCATGGTTAGCATACAGTAATACTCTGTGTCAGTAGATCAGTATATCAAAGGGGCATTTGGGCCTAAAACTAATGTAATCTGTTTTGAAGTACAGTGTTGCATCCCTTTGCTTCATCATAATTATCAATTTTTCTATCCTTTTTGTGTTTTTGTCCATGAGTGATCAATATTCTCTCACTACAGTATTTGGCATTATAGCCTCATAGCAGTAATGTTAGTTGTCTGGTTTTCTTCTGCATTGATCAGCTAGGGGAAAAAATCAAGAAACTTGCCCCAAAGCAGTTGTGGTTTTTCAAAAGTTCCTCCTCATCAGAATATATCATCAGAAGGGGGTTCCCTAGCTATTAAAACAGGAAAATCTCACTCTAAGGACTATTGCAGCACAGATGAGGAAGGCGAGCAGACATGTTTACAACAGATGTAGCCCTGATTACATTGTTCATTTTGGCCAGAGTGCCGCTTTGTTATATTTAAGCATACCGTGCCAGTGCAGTTTTTCAGTACACAGAGAGGCAAGCCGTATGAAAGGATTTCTTATTAGACTTAAAGTGTGGGGTTTTGAAATCATAACATTAGACAAGGGCATTATGAACGCAACAAAGAAGATGACTGTATTTCCAGCCTGAGTCTAAAATCCTCTCTAATGACAAGGACTGGCACCTGGCCTGCGATCCGGCTTTCATTCTGTTTGTATCCTGCTTTGCTGACCAGGTGTGCACAATTACATTAAAAGATAAATTATCATATGAAGGGGACAGTTTTTAAATGAAGCCCTCTTCAGTGTTCTGAGACGCAGGGCTCATGAATAAAACTGAATTCAAAAATAAAAATGAAACGCTCCCGGCCTGTTCCCGGCGGAGCAGTGCCTGTTCGCAAACTTGCCGTTTGTAGGCCAAGCAGTGTGCCTCTTCTTTTAGCCGAGGTTCTGGCGCCTCTTCATATCGTAGGCTATAATATCAAGGGAATGTTATACAGACTATACATAGTCTGAGGCTTGGCCCAGGCGTTTTCGGAGGGAACTGAAATCGCTGTTCCATTCCATAGGAGCTCAATTGCTTACGAGAGCGCATTCGTGCCCTATGGTAATGTTTAACCAGCATTCCTCTGCTTATAGGGCTGCTGTTCGGCTGATTCTTCTTCAGGTCACAGGGCTGGTTATGCTTGAGGCTTCTCTATCACTGTAGGGAGCACTGCAATCTCTTCAGAAGGCCGCACTAACTCAGTGGCCCTGTCTGTGCATATCAATTACCCAGTCCAGTGACTCAGGCATTGGCTTACTCAGGAACTACAGTGTGTGTGGGCCCCCAGTGAAGAGTGCTTACTAATGCTAACATAGTACAACAGTGCTGTCTTTTTCCCTTTAAAAACTATGTTGGTATTCACTTCAAGTATAAACGCACTGCACTGTGCAGAAAACCAATGCAGTTAGGTATTCAGCTCTGTAAAGTAGTAGCTTTATAGCTTTATTTAGACCTAACATCCCTAACATCCCTATTCAGCGCTACCATCAATGAGTCTGATAAAAAACTGGCAGCGGCTGGCTTTGGTAGACCATATGGGTTTGGGGTACCATGGCCTTCTGTCCCACTGAGAAGTCCTTCTGGCTTTGGAGATGGGGAGTCATTCACCAGCCGGGGTGTGCTTTATCCTGCAGAAGAACGGAAATGAATCATAGAATGATCTAGGCCCCAAAAAAGGCCAATAAAAATACTGTACTAATGTCTGAATGAAGTTGCATTTAGTTTATTTTACTGCAGTTTGTAGTCTTTGTGTTTGGTCCACTACATTTGCTCTTTCATTTTGTCCTTTTCACCATCTTTCTGGTAGTGCTTGTTACAGATTAACGTGCTGGCCAGTTGGACCTGCCCTTCCCTCATTCAGTGACTATGCCTGCTGTGTGACCCTTCAGGGCCAAGCTTGTTTTGAACATCACATAAAATAATAGACTGAAATAGTCTGCAGTTAGAAGTAGAGGTGGCAAGGCATAATGGGACTTTGAATGGCTGGATTTTAAAACATCAATCACAAAACATTGACAGCTTGACTTCTTTCATGTCCAGATCTGTTGTCAGTCATTGAAATACACAAATTAAACAATATGACCTTGAAAATTAGTGCAATATGCTGTGAAACCTGTAGGTAAGAACAAAGAAACAGTGAAAAATGCATTGGATGATCACCTAATACTGAACAGTAGAGTTTAGTAAGTTCTGGCAAAGTAGCAGGGGTCAACTCCTGATCCTGGTCAGGCTTTTCTGCAGTGTGATTTGTTTAAGAGCAAAACAGCTTCTGGAAAAATAATCAATTTAAATCCTTTGCGTAGATGAGAGCCAAAGTGAGGACTCCAGAAGACGTTTATGTAACCACTTTGTGTTCAGTACATATGGGTATCAAGCTTGGACAATAAAGTAGATTTAGGTGAAAGATTATCATCTGTGGAATTGTGTCACCGTGAATTAAGTCATGAAGTACCACATGTGAGGGTCTTACTTTATAGCTTACATTTTCCCTGATGGTAATATAACTACTGTATAATTACCATGTAATTGTCATCTAGATTAGCATGAAATATTAGTTAGTATTTTGTAGTAACCATTTGGATTAGCATCAACTATTACTACACTTTTGCAGCGGTTCTCCTCAGTTGTTTGAATTAAAACAAAAATCTTGTCAAACTGGCCTGTTGACACTCTTTGGAGAGCGGATCTTTGTTTAATTTGCATATACCCCAGCATTATTTGCCAGACTGAAACTTTAGGTTGTAATCTTTTTGTAATCTTTGAAGTGGCATTCAGTGTACATGTATGTGCAGTTAATTAGTTACTGATGTTCTGCTTGTATCCCGTACTTAAGTGCAACCTTTTCTATTGTATATATTTTTAAATAGATCAGAATAATTGCACAAAAGTAATAATTAAATGAAGAAAATAAAATAACTAATTTGCATAATGTTGGCATATATTTTTTGATTTTTTAGAATATAAATTGTTAGACATGTACTGAAATTTTGGCTGAAAATGGTCAAAAATGGCACTTTAAGTGTTCCTCGGAAGGAGAAAAAGTGCTGAATATTTTGGCCCCAAAAAAACAGATTAAATAGGACTACAACAAAACGTCAAATCTAACCCTCAAAATATCCTTTGAATAATAATGTAAACAAGGAACACTTTAGTTTGCTCTCCTGCATCGGTCAGCGCAGACGTGTTAAAGCAATTTTAGTGCAACTATTTAATGGATTCTACAAGGGACATTAGATGTTAGAGATCTAGTATCAAGAGGAGGTACACTGCCAAAAAGAACCAGAATCAGACTCTGTAAGATTTGCTTGCAGTTTGCTTTCATGGTAAAACGAGCTCTATCATCAGCTCTGTGTTGGATAGCTGTTAAAATGATCCTGTACATCGTTGCAGCATACAGTAAAGAGCTCGAAGATGATTTGGCTTCTGACTCTAAAAGGTTTAAAATAGAATAGTGATTTAAGCTCTCAATTGTCAAATGAGGTTTAAGGCTCTCAGAAGCCCAGGACCAGAACATCAGTGTATTTTAAATGAGCCTCTGAGCTATTATTAGGCTGGCGCTTCTATCAATGTGTCTGGTCGGTGCACTGCATCATCAGCCGGTGTGTTATGGCTTCTCTAGTCCTTTGGGTCTGGTTATTGATGCTATATTTGCTATATGAACCTGGAGTGGACTCTGCTATATGACAACACTGTTTGAATCAGAGTTAGTTGATTTCACACTTCTGCTTCTCCTGTCACGAGTTCAGTGGTGTCACTTAGTCATGATCTTGTTAACTGCCTCTTCACATGTTTACTCTTCAGGCTGGTATCAGTGTTCTGTGTTTCTACTTTTCGTGAACTTAGACCCCATTCTTTCTCTGCTTTGTTGTCAGCAGTAACTTAGGCCCAATGATTTTGATCAACTTTGACCAAATACCTGATAGCCTCTCAAAGAAAAAACATCTTGTGATTGATCTAATTGAATGTGGTCCTACAAAAATCAGACTAACCTTGAATCCTAATGAGTTTTATGCCTTCATTTAACCTTTTAATGCTGATACAAAATAAGCACAATTTCTGCCTACGCTTCTCCTTTAATAACATAATTTCTCAATTTTATTGTTGCATTTATTTTGTTATGTAAAGCTGAGGTTTCCAAACTTTATGATGACAGTTCATAGGCCCGCATTGTTACATATAGTTGTCCACTGAAATGAAAATTTTTGGCTGAAACCAAAACCGAAGTTCAGGACACACTAAGCTGAAAACCAGAAAAGTCTGACGATAAATTGAAAATACAATACATTTAAATAGAAGGAACTTACTAAATAATTACAGTATGTAGGCTACAGTAT